AAAGTTAAACTCTCATTATTTGCTGATGATATGATACTTTACATAGAAGACCCAAAAAACTCTACCAAAAGACTTCTGGACTTAATTGACAGATTCAGTAGAGTAACTGGATATAAGGTCAACACTCAAAAAACAATAGCCTTCTTATACACAAATAGCAGACTCATTGAGAGAGAAATTAGGAAAATAATTCCTTTTACAATAGCATCCAAAAAAATGAAAGATCTAGGAATCAATCTAACAAAGGAAGCAAAAGACCTCTATGCTGAAAACTACAGCACCCTGAAAAAGGAGATCAAGGAGGATATAGGAAAATGGAAAGACATCCCTTGTTTCTAGGTAGGAAGAATCAATATACTGAAAATTGCCATACTTCAAAAACTGCTATATAGATTTAATTCAATGCCAATTGAAATTCCAACAATATACTTCACAGAGCTAGAGAAAACAATCCAAAAATTCATTTGGAACCAGAAGTGACCTAGAATAGCAAAAGCAATTCTGGGCAACAGAGACATGGCTGTGGGTATCACAATACCCAACTTGAAGTTATACTACAAAGCTACTGTGATAAAAATAGCATGGTACTGGCAAAGAAACAGACCTGAGGATTAGTGGAATAGACTAGAAGATGCAGACATAATTCCAGACATTCTCAGCCACTTCATCTTTGACTAAGGAGCCAACCACCCTCATTGGAGGAAAGATAGCCTGTTTAATAAATGGTGTTGGAAAAAAGGGATTTCAACCACCCAAAGATTAAAACTACATCCATACCTATCACCATGCACTAAACTAAGATCGAAGTTGATTAAAGATCTAAATATCAAGACAGAAACACTAAATTTACTGGAAGATAAGTTAGGTAGAACTCTTGAAGACATTGTCATAGGAAAAGACTTTATGAACAAAACCTCAGTAGCATGGGAACTAGCACAAAGACTCAACAACTGGGATCTCATCTTATTAAAAACCTTCTGCACTGCAAGAGAAAGCACCAACAAAGCTAAGAGCCAACCTACAATGTGGCAAAAAAATTTTAGCAGCTGTAACTCAGACAAAGGACTACTATCTACAATATATAAAGAACTGAAAAAAATCAGAATCCCCAAATTCAAAGACCCAATCCAAAAATGGGCATCTGAAATGAACAGACATTTCTCAGACAAAGAAGTAAAAGCAGCAAATAAATATAAGGAAAAAATGTTCAACATCACTGGTCATTCAAGAGATGCAGATGAAAACAACACTGAGATTCCACCTCACCCCAGAAAGAATGGCTGCTATCAAGAAATCAACCAATAAGAAATGCTGGCGGGGGTGTGGAGAGAAAGGAACCCTTCTCCATTGTTGGTGGGAGTGCAGACTGTTGCAACCACTGTGGAAATCACTACGGAGATACCTCAAAGAACTAGGGCTGGAGGTCCCATTTGACCCAGCTATTCCCCTGCTGGGTATTTTCCCAAGAGAATTAAAAGAATCATACTACAGTGATATATGTGTACCCATGTTTATTGGGGCACAGTTTGTAATAGCTGAAGCTTGGAAACAGCCCAAGTGCCAATCAACTGGAAACTGGAGAAAGAAGTTTTTTTTTTTTATAAAATGGAGTACTACTCAGCCATAAAGAAGGAGAAACTAGAGTCGTTTATAGCTAAATGGATGCATATTGAGGCCATACTGTTAAGTGAAATAAATAGGACACACATGTGTAAATACCGAATAGTTTCTCTAGTGTGAGAAACTGAAAGTGTAAATAAGGATTAAAAGGATTAATAACTAATAACTGATACTTTGAAATAGGAAAAGGTTCAAAAGGGTAGGGGTGGTGGGAGGGGAAGGGGAAAGGACAGAATGGAAAGGAAAAATTATGAGAAAAGAAAAAATAAAATGGAAACGAAGTATGTAAATAGGGAACGGTTTAGGGGTGAAGGGTGCACAGGTAATGGGGAAAAAATGAAAAGCAGCATACATCATGTACAGGTACAAGCATCCAAAGATAAATGTAAATCTGTTGTATACCTAAAATGTACCAATAAAAGAATTTAAGAAAAACAAGTACCTGACCTCCAAAGTTAGAGGAGGAAAGTTTTATTTAGCTTGCAGTTTGTAGAGGTTTCAGTCCATAATCAGCTGGATCCAAGGCAGGGTGGCATGGCAGAGGGGCATCACAGAGGAGAAACAGTTCATGGTGGGCAGAAGGTAACCAAACAAGCAAGGGAGGACCACAGCTCTTTCTTTCCCTTATACTGTATCCATGCTACTTAGGGCAGGTAGCAGTCACACCTTTAATCCCAGTGCCTTTGATCCTAGTATTGCACCATGAATCAACCCCAGCATCACATACTGTAGATCCAGCCACCTCTGAAAAAGCCCCACCTCTGACCACATGAGCCTCTGGAGGGACATCTAGATGCAAGTCATAACAGAGAGCTTTCAGACAGCCCATCATGTAGAGGTTCCTGGAGGGTGCTGCAGCCGGAGAGGGCATGGAAGCTCTGTGCCCTTCTCCCACAAACTACCCTGTGCATTTCTTCATCTGTATCCTCTTTAATAGCCCTTATAATAAACCAACAAATGTAAGTACATTTCTTCTGAGTTCTGTGAACCATTTAAGCCAATTCATGGATCCCAATGAAGGAGTTGTGGGAACCCTGACCTACAGGTGTTTGGTCAGCAGGACAGGGAAAAGAACAAGGAGTTTGGGGCTGCCATTTAAAGAAGGAGCAGTCTTGGTGTTTAGGCCCTGACGCGGTGGGATCTGACACCACCTGCAGGTAGATAACAAAAGAACTATGCTGGATTAGTGGACAGGCAGCTCGTGGCCATAGCTGTAGAACTGCTTGCTTGCTAGTGATGAGAAATCTCTGTGCCTTTTGAAGTCACAAAAGTTGTGAGTATATAGTAGGAGAAAGTGAAGTGCAGCTGGTTTTTCCTTCTATATCCTGTGGTCCAATCTATTACTATACCCTAGACTATTTATTATTAAAATAACTCATTAGAAGATATGTTGTAATATAGATTTGTGGTTTTTGTTGAGTTTGCAAAAGACCGTGTCCACTGCTGCCTCTGGTACAGGAAACATCACAGACAGACTTAATTGGCTCTTTTGTTTTTTCCTCTTAGAGTATTAAGGTGAAAAAGTGCTAAGCAGCTAAAAAAGTTGGGGCTTCGGAAGAAGTCCTATTAATTATAGACAAATTTATGTACTTAAAATCACAGCAATCACATTTTCTTTGAGTCATTTTTTATTCAACATATAAAACAGGATGCTTATTTACCTTGATGTAAAATACACAGCTGATGCACAAGATAAGATAAAATTATATAAAAATACCAAAACTCAGACCTCAAATCAGTGTACAGGATATGCCATACATAGGACATTCAAAATGCTCTTTTACCCTCTCAGCTCTTTCTAATTATATCAGTTTAAGTGGCTTTACTTGACAACTATTTTTGCTTAAAAATGGGCTTAAATTAGGCACATAATAAATTAGTAGCATTAATAAAGATTGTGCTTCTTTGTTCCTGAAATTTTTCTTCTAATAAGTTTATCCAACGAAAGTCTTACGGAAATGCACATACTTTTAAATTATTCATTTTAATGAGTTTAATCTACAGTAAATTATTTTTAAAGAGTAATGCAATATACTTTATGTTAGACCATGCAGAAAAGTTTTATTGGAAGTATGTTTATATGATAGTTATTTCAGGGCAGTAGTTACATATTACATGCACTATTTTTAAATAAATTGGATTCAATTGTTTATACTGTCCATTAACAATTTTACAGACTCACAGTAGCGACACACAGTATACTGTTCATAGGGCTGATGTTTGCCAGCAGGAATGCAGAGCCTCTGTTGCATCCTGAGTTAGGGTAGTAGGGGTGTGAAAAACTAGTTTAACAGGATCTCTTACATGAAATAGCTCCAGAATGAAGAAGCTCTAAAGGGTTACTGCTTTAAATGACTGCTTTTACTTGGGCTCAAAGTGAGTTAAACTTCAGATATTAGCCCTGGTTAATGTCAGGTAATGTACTTTTGGTTTTATTCAACCAACAAAGCACATGTGTTGGTATTGTGGGTGACCTACATGTGGTCTCAGGGAGCTTATGGAAGTTTGAGGAGTGAGGACACAGATATAAATTATAAAATGCTTGTATGTGCACTCCCATTCCCATTCCCATTTATTTTGTCTCTCAAGGTGAAAAATGTTACAGAAACATGACAGAAAGATTATCACCTGGCACTGGTGGCTTCCTCCTGTTTGGCTGCTATGTGGAAGAAAGGAAAAATTATGTTCCTTCACCTCTTCCCATTTAATCTCTCTTGACCTCTTTTTTTTTCCTAAGGCTTTTTTTTTTTAATTTCAGCTAAGGAATGATGCATGTTACAGATTAATCTTTACTTTTCCCCACTTGGTTTTTTTAAAGAATATCACCATTTCAACCCCCAGTGACCATCGTACTTGTTTGCTTCATCCTCTTCTAATTTATTACAGATTTTCAAGTGTTTTCTTCAGTAATGATGCTTTCTCCTGCAGCTCAGGTCTGCTGTCTGTTTCCATAGTGGCTAAAGACTCAATCAGGAGTACTCTGCATTCAGATGTCAAACTCTCCCACTGTTTAGATTCTTCGTCTTTTAAGTAGTAATTCTATCACAGATAAAGCTTCCTATCATTCTTGACCTCTTAATAACCAGTGGTGGGAACAGGTAAGGACAACAAGGAATTATTCAAGAGCTCAACTGACATTCATGCTGTTGTCATTTGGAAGATTTATTTAAGAAATTTTGTCTCTAGTGTACATGCATAAATCAAATTGAAATAAAAGAACAGATATTAAGATTCAGTCTGTGGCAGCACAGCTCAGAAAATTCTACACTTACTGTTTTTTAAAAATAAGAATGTTATTTGAAATAAGGAAAAAAAAATGTAATCACAGCTTTGAATGTCATTCATTGGCTCCTGGTTCAGTGCTCCAGTTTCTAAGGGGTGACAGATAATGAAAGAATTTCTGAGTCTCTGTTTGCCAACAAAAATAGCAGGCCATAGACCGAGGCCCTACAAGAGACACAGGCATGGAATGACCTTACTGAGGAAGCCCCAAATCAAAACAAAGCATCCCCATGATGTGTTGAAAAGAGAAAATACCAACTGGAAAGCAGAAGGCCGAGTGCTCCTGCAAAGAAGCTCTGGCTCCTGCTGCCCAGTCCTCTTAGCATTGAAATTCTCCTGAATGTGGCAAGAGGGAAATGTAAGGAAGCCTGGGTAAAGTTTTAAATTCATAAAGCACAGGGAAAGATTTTTATATAAAGCAACAAAAACAAAATGAGCTGCTTTCAAGTCAGGGAGTCAGAGAGAAGCTACTCTTCTTTCCAGGAGAACAGTGGAAGATTCAGGAGTTCAACTCGGGGGCTTTATAATTTTTCATCAGTTAGGAACTGGACATCTTGGGTGCCAGATGGTGCACTGGACAATCAGGCTGGGACTAGGAGCCAATCTGCGCAACTTTACATTTTCCACAAGGCTGATACTTTGAATTTCTAAATTCAAGACTGATAGTGAAAAGGCTGTTACTTTGAATTTCCAAATTTAAGGTAAATTTTAATGTGAGAATAAAAGACCGTGATGTGTTCACTGGATTATAATGTTACGGTTTAACACCATTCTTATTGTTCTACATAGTAGCATTTTACAACAGTACTTTCATTTGGGAAACAGCAGCATGTAGCAGTGTCCCCTCTTTTTTTTTTTTTGGTGCTGAAGATCAAACCCAGGGTTTTGCATATGCTACACATGAGCAATTACCCTGACCAACCACTCATGGAGCAGTGATCCTGGCCCCATCCATAGTATTTTGGAATGTGCTTTGGGCTTCCTTTCACTGCAGTGTTAACACAGTTAAGGTCCAGTGGTGGCTTCAGGATTTCTGTGTGGAAGGAGTTTTGGAACAGCTGTCTCATTGGAAAGAGGACTCACCTTGAAGTTGTGTTTGCATATAACACTCTGCTGTTTGCAATTCAATGGTACATCTTGATTACAAAATATGATATTAATTTGAGGTTAAGGCCCATCTTTTCAGTTTTTTAAAATATTTCCACAGTGAGGATGGGAATTGTAGGGTGTTGGCATCATTGCTGATGGTGTCCCATATAGTTTGTAAATCTCTTAGAGTGTTGCATATCTGAAGTACATTTCACTTTGTTCCTGCAACATTATACCACGGCAACTCTGAGCTTGGAAATCCTATATAAATAATCAACTCACTGAAGTGGCATTTGCAGAAAACAAAGCACATGCTTTAATAACAGATGTTTCCTTCAGTGTTTTTCCTGAAAATCTTTATTTGGGTAGAAGACTGAAGGGAGGTGAGTGAGGTGCTTAAGAAGTTTTAGAAATCAAATGAAGAATGCATAGGATTTTTAGCCATTTACTTGCCAGAAGCCACTTTATTTGGACAATGATGTCATGTGCAGGTAGCACATGAGACAGGATCTGGGCTCCAGTCTTCTCTAGATTGCCCAGTGTTGTGTGAACAAGACAGGCAGTTCACACAGAGTTGATGGCATGTTCAACCAGGATATTGCCCATGGAAAACTGCACTATCTGGAAGTGGATGAGCTGCTGCTCACAGCGTACAAAAGATGGCCCTACAGAGCCAGGGCTTTTCACAATCTCTTCTCCAACTCAGTGTTACTTCATCACCAACCAATATTTTTCTTTTAGTGCAAATATTTCTGTTTTCTAATCGAGCTTAGATCTTGGTTTCATAAAAGGAAAAGAGGGTATTTATATATGTAAATATATGAATGTGAATGTACATACACATTTACAGATAAAATTATTATAATTATCTAAGCATCAAATTTTGGAAAAAATATCTCTTCCCAGAGCCTATTCTCAAGTAAGTGTTTGCAACACAGAAAATATTCAGGAATTAAGTTGCCAATGAGTCTACTGCTCAGAGGAAAATATTTTAAATAATTTGATCATTGAAGTTTAAATTTTATCATAGAAGTTAAAATATTTATAAAGGATGACCTTTAATAATATTGCTTGCAGGGCTGTGGATTCCTTGAGAGAGTGAAACAGCCTTTTTGTGGCTGCTGAGTAGATCAGATTTACACTGTGGGTTGCATTTCACTGCATTTTGTTGCTTTCAATTCCTTCCTTTCCTCTTATGCAAGTTCATGTCACTTTATCAATATTAAAGAGATATTATAATTTTAAGAAATTGACATTGAAGAATGGGAAACTAGGTAACATTATGTCAACTGGTATAATATAATTAGCATTTTAGCATAATTTTAAATATGATTACATTGTGTGTATTTGAACATGTAAATAGACATCTATCTATCCATCCATCCATTACGTGATCTATTTTAGGGGTGTGCTAAAGCCAGCTTATACTGGTTCAGAAGAACTGATTGACACATTTCGAGAAATTTTAAAAGCTGGTTAGGCTCATTATGTTGGTAGCCTGAAAAATGCCTATGGAGAGAGTATTTAAATCATGAAAATTGGTAAATGATAAAATCAAGGATTTTTTTTTCTTGTTGGAGAGCAAGGTGTTAAATAATTTACCAATATGCCATTGTAAGTTTGGTCAGGAAAGGGACTGTAATGTTCCTGATAGAAGCCAGTAGTCATTATAAAAAACTATCAAAGGTAAAGAAAAACAGTCTTTGGCAATTTAATTTAGCCTATAATTTCACAAATAGTGTTAAATACTACCCACTTTTCTTATTGTCTTAAAATAAAATATTAGAATTTAGCATATTTCCTAATCATAAATATGTTATAGGACATTTGTACAAAGCTAATTTGGAAACTTTACTGTTATTTTTAAAATCAAACTCTCTGCATTTGTATTTGGCAGGAATATCAGCTAAGCCCAAATATAAATGAAAAACAAATACTATATGAAAAATGAAGGAATCAAACTTTTCTTTCTGGTGAAGCTTTTATGTGTTAATTTCATTCGGCATTATTTAGGTATTTTGTATTCAATCTGCATGTGTACGTGCATGCATATATATACTTACACTCACATAGACCTCAGCAAATTATAATATTAGAGAAATGGGATCTCTGGTTCATTACATATTCTATTAATAACCATAATGATTCATGCTAGAAATTGTTTTAAGCAAATGGCCATGGAAGCTAGCTGATCTGGCCAAATAGCTCCTTCTCTGTTTTCTAAAAATTTCAAAATGTCTTCCTTTCTGTTTTTGTTTAAATATGCACAGTTACAGTTTAATGAATGCTTTGTCTATCAGTCATACATGCAAATAAGGACTTAAATTTATCTGTCTGATTTACTTCTAAGGTACTGAGCTCAGAGCAGGGCTGCTGAGCAAGTGAGCACATACTGGAATATGGTGTGGAGTTTGTTGGGAAAGAAAAAGTGGGTAGAAAGAATGCTTCCTGAAGAGAGAAATTCCAAAAGAAAATTATTTCAGAACAATGACAAACCAGTTGGAGGACAGCCAAGCTCTAGAAAGATTTATCCTTTTTTCTTTCTTTTTTTTTTTTTTTGGTACCGGGGATTGAACTCAGAACCTTGCGCTTGCGAGGCAGGCGGTGGCACCCACCACTGAGCTAAATCCCCGGCTATTCTTTTTTCTAACCAGATATTGTTGGCATCCCCCAGACGCATTTCTGATTTTCAGGATTTTAGATGTAAAGGTAGAGAGCCAACAGGTAGGCTGACTCTGAGTCTTAAGGTAATTCCTTTAAAATCAGTTTCAAAAAAATTAAACTCATGGTATTTAGTTTCTCTGTTGACTTTCTCTTTCATGAGGAAAGCAAAGCTCAGCACCTTCTACATATTGGCAGAAGCTGGGTTGTGACAGTAAATCAAGTGGAGAAAAGGAGTCATTGAAGAAGTATCAGCAAATAACGTTACAGCAGCAGTTCACACATGCAGTTACATATATTCATTCATTGTTATTTTCCTAAGAAATGGAGCAGCTTAGAAGCTTAATGCATCAGCAGAGTCCAAGGAGCTGCAAAGATTACTTCAAGAATGAAGAAGCACACGTAGAAGTGTGATATCTTTCCGTTGGTTTGAGCTTCAAACCCAAAATTCTTCACAATACATTTCTGGGTCTCTATTCAAATATTGAAGTAACTTTTTGGTTAAATGCAGTATTGAAATGGAACACTGGCTTTTCTTGAAAAGAAGAAATGTGTTTGGAAAATTAAATACCTTTTAAAAAATGAAAAATAAACATACTGTCAGAGGTTGGGGGTTTAAATGAACCCTGTACCAAGGAGTTGAGAAAACTATTTTCTGTAACATCTTGGAAGCTGCTCGGCAAATGATTTTAGCATTTCAGGGTTCTCCATCTATCCTGACACGTTCCATTTCAAAACCATTTTGGCAAGTCCCGCATACAATGTGGCCTTTCATGATAAATCACTGTTATGCTATACAGATCTGCTTTAAGTGGGGTTTTTTTGTATAAAAAAAGTTTCATGTTTTAGAGCTCAATATCAAAATTAAGCATGTTTCTTAAAAGTTTAAATTAATCTGTTCAGTGCACTTGTTTTTAAACAATTGCCATCTTGATTTCTATCTTATATAGAATATCAGGTCAATTCCACTATTTTCCGATCATATTAAAAGAAACAAAAAAACAAAAAAACCTTTCCAACTGCAAAACCCAGCACAAAGATGTTGAATGTATCTCTGTGATTTAGTTTTATCTTCAGTCCATATTGTATATGGACTCTACTAGGGGAAAATATTCTCATTTGAATTGGAAGAAGTTATCTCTTTCAGGTAATTCATTTCTTGGCATTTACAAATGCTGTCAAGTTGAATACAGACATCCATCAGGAATCAGGAAAAAATTTTAATTTATATTGTTTTAAAACTAAATGTTTTAATCATCAGAAATCTCTGCATTCATTAAATACTGTACTTTGGATGGTGACAAGATATAAACATATTTGTATAAATTATTCTTCTTTAAAACACTATGTAATTTTGCTTACTCAAAAAAATGAGTATTTAAAATATTTTTCATTGCTTTATAAAATATATATTTTGCATACTCTTTTTGGATCATGCTTGATCTGTCAGTTACCGAGTCATTAATCCCTGATGGATTACATTGAGTTATGTGACTGTGCCTTTGATTATATTATAAACTTTTTGTCACATATTTGAGGCAAACCTGAGGATAGGTCACTGAATAATTGTTATTCTTTTCTCTTAAAAATATTTCATTTCTCCATTTTCTTCTTTAGTGGCCTCTTGAAGAATCCAATCTATTGAGAAAACACAAAACATACAAAATTAATTATTTTAATTTATGTAATAAGTACTAATCTCTTTGCATAGAATCTAGTAATATATTGGCAAATCTGGGCATACAACTGATTTATGTAACTGAAAAGTATTTTTTCACTGACCTATTAATCTTAAATGTCAAGAAAATAACATTTATCAAATTGCTATTTTAATTATACCTTTTAATTGGTTAACTGTATGATATCTCTGAGTGAAAAGTATTATATGTATTGAGCTAATTTTTTTGGGGGGGGGGGTTGGTACCGGTTATCGAACTCGGGTCTTTGCGCTTGCGCAGCAGGCGGCGAAACCACTGAGCTAAATCCCCAGCCCATGTATTGAGCTAATTTAAAGGGTTCTGGAAAATATTTTTAGAACCACACAAGTTGCAGTTAGGTAGCATTGTTCCTACTTTGTCATTATCTTTTTTCAGGGATAAGGGAAGAAATTTTCATCAAATAACCTGTGGTGATACATTGAGGTCATTAGAGCTTACAGGGAGTCTAATACGTATCCCGAGGCTAGTGGATTAAAGGGACTTTTGAGTTTTCTGGTTCAACTTTAAATGTGTCAGAAAACTTGCCTGCAGATTTGAATGAAGAGGATCTTGAAAGACCTTATGTCATTTAAATAAGAAAATTATTTCACAATGAGAAAAATTTCACAATGTAGTGAATGTGACTCATATTTCATTATGCCTTGTGATTTGTGATTTGGAGCATCATAAGAAGTTACAAATTCTGTTTTTATTTCCTATTATAAGAATAGCAAACATAAGTATGGGAGCTGGAAGGTATCTTTGCAATGTTCTAATCTAAAATATCTACCAAAGAAAACAAAAGAAATTAAAAGTCATAGGGAAGTAGCTTTTCAAATTTGTGTATGTTTTAAAATTTGCCAGTGGGCTTAAGTAGGTCAAACAAAAGCAATCATTTAATTCTTTGAAAGTATAGTACCTCCTTATCATTTTAATCATAAAGTTATATAAATTATGTAAGGAAGCCATATATTTTAAAAATAATTATTGAACATCTGAGTGCTTTAAGAGGATCAAGGGTTAAAAGTAAGCACATTGGGGTTAGAGAAGTTTTGCTCAGGGTTACTGTCTTCTGCCATGCAGAATCTGGTTGGTAGTAGATGAGCAAAAGGTGGTAACAGAGAAAATGCACATAAAAATAGTAATAAGTGGCCAGGAATTTACCTCAGTGGTTCTGCCTCCTGCCTCTCAAGTGCAAGGTTCCGAGTTCAATCCCTGGTACCAAAAAAACCCAAAAAACCCCAAACCCAAAAAACCAACAATAGTAATAAGTTTGTTGTTCCCAGAATGCCAGCGATTTCCAGGTTGTAAGCCTTTTGCTTTCAGTCAATAATAAAAGTTCTAGATTCACAAAACTATTGGGTTCCTTGACTCATTCCTGCATGTCCTGGGTTGAAAATAAAACCGATGAGGTTTTCACAAACTAGTGAATTTTAAGCCTTTTTTCCTTCCTGCTCTCCCTTGCTTTTTATTTTCTCTCCTTCCTCTCTTAAGTCTCTTTTCTTTTCAACCTTCCTTTGCTTCTATACCCTAAATGTCCTACTTTAAAACCTAACTTCCGTTCTCTAATTTTTTTCTACATAACCAATTCTGTAAATATTGGATGTTTAAAGAAAGTCGGGGATCACAGTGGAGATTGGGAGAATAAAATTTATGGTTGCAACTGGACTGGGCCAATCCTAGACAAATTCTGAAACAAGAAAATTAGTTTGTAGACCCCCTAAAATTTTCTCATAGCATTCACTTTTCTTTCTTCCTTCTTGTATCTTTAATGATCCTTTTTATACTTCCTAGTTGAAAACCCTATGGCAAAAAGTAGGTGGTTAATGAATATAATATGGAATAAATGTTGAATGATTAAATTCATGCTGATACATAAAAGACTAAAAAATAGTAAGGTGCTACAGCTCTCCTTTATCCACAAAGGATACCTTCTAAAATTCTCAGTAGATGCCTGATACATTATCTTTTCCTATGTGTACATACCAATGATAAAGTTTAATCCATAAATTAGACACAATGAGAGATTAACAATAGCTAATTATATAATGGGAACAATTATAATGGTATATATAATAGTGGTCTTTATTTCTCTCTCTCAAAGCATCTTTTTATAATGTCCTGCATTTTTGGATCATAGTTGACTGTGGATGACTGAAACTGCTGAGAGACTGGATAAGAGAATTACTCTATCCTTTCCTCCCAATTAGTTATACTGGACAGGGAATGTAATGCTTTAGATTTAAAAATTCCTCTAAAATTCTCATGTGTGGAAGATCATGGAGGATTAGATCATGGAGGTGTGATACTCATCAGTGGTTCATCCACTGATGAGTTCAGAAGTGTCTCGTTAGGAGGTGGGGCCTGGTTAGAAGTGGGTCCCTGGAGGCAATGAACTGCATGAGTGTATTCTTGTCCTTGGCTCCTCCCTTTTCTCTGTTTCTTGGCTGCCATGGCTTGACTGCCTTTTCCTCCACCTTGCCCCTCTGCCATCTTGTTTCTGCCTTGGAGCCAGCCAACCATGGACTGAAACGGTAAACCAAAAGAAACTTCCCCTCCTCTAAGTTCTGGGTGTTGGGTATTTTTGTTCCGGTGAAGGAAAGTAACTAAGACAGGAAACAAAGCCTTGGGATTAATAATCATCAAACCTTAGGCAGCAGTATGAAGCAAGTTAGAGGAAGGATGTTCTGCTTTCTCATGGTTTCTCTGTGTACTGCGTCATTCTATTTATTGATTACACTGGCCTGATGGGCACCTCTCTCAGCATATAGTACTATATTTTAAGACAAGTTTCTCAACCTATCAGCTACTAAAATTTTGTCCAGATTTAATTTCTGTCATGTGCATTAGGAAGATGATATATAAAGGCTGTGTCTTTTGAAACTGAATTGTTATTCCAAAAGGAGTTGGAACATGTAGTCCTTAACATGTAGTCTCAGATTATGATGGTCTACTGAATATCCGGAGTGGTGGGATCCAGGAGAAAGGGGAAGAAATGGTAGTCAGAGGTGTCTGCTCCAGATTTATTAAGTATACAGAGATGTGTGGGGACAAGGGCAGTTCTTCTGAGCCTATCACAAACTGAACTAAGGTTTCAAAAAGACTCCAACCTAATTATAAAGCAAAGGGAGGAGTAAAACAGTAAAACAGAGTTGCTGAAAGTCTGAAAATAGCCAGGGATCTTCATTCCAAAACCAAGTATTTTTGTTTCAGAGAGTTCATGATCTCCTGCCTTAAGGTCTACAGTAATGGGATATACTGAAAAATAGATGGGTTCTGGAGACAGATTGTTGCTTAAATCCAATCATTTACCAGCTTGGAACCTTGGGAGAGTTAGTTAGCTTCTTTGGTTTATCATCCTTGGATGTAAAATGCAAAGATATTTGGTTGAAAGGGTTATTATAAAGACAACAGAGTGATAACAGATAGTGTTGGTGCAAGATTCAAATCCTTACTCTGAACTTTACTAGGCATATAGCCTTTGTAAACATTTAACTTTTCTGTGCCTTTGATTCCCTATGGACAAAACGAGGCTCATAATAGTTTTCCTCACGGGTTAATACAAATATTAAGTAGGAATGCTTAAAGCTGTAATGCTTAGAACAGGTCCTGACACACGTTAAACATTCAATAAGAGCTAACTCCCTGCCCTTCTGCCTTGGAATCACAGTTCTGATTGCTAAGCCTCCCAATGAAGTGTTTGAACTAACTAAACCTATTGTCAAGACAGTCTAAAGTTTGTTATATGACCTTCTTTGGGGCCTAAAACAATCTTAGACTCCATTAGAGTGTATCAACACAACATTTACTGCTGATGGAAAAATGAGTTTACTTTTACATTTATACTTTTTTAGACTAAAGAACAAAAAAAGCAGGTGGATGAAAGTTCCTATTTGTCTTAAACAGAAGGATGAGGCCAGAGAGAATCTATTCAAATCTCAGCTGTGGCTTTCCTATTCTCTTGCCAAAGGTGTCCTAAAAATATACAGGCAAACATAGTGCTCAGAATAGAAGACCATACTGAAAGAAATGATCAGAAACACACTGTGTTAATGGTGCTTATAAATGAAGAAACTACTTCCCATATTTCAAGCACAATCAATAAGCCAGGCCTTGAGTACCACAGTGTGGCAAAATCAGGTATTACAGAGAATACTGACATTTTGTAAAGAGGAAGACTTGGATGTTGAACTCAATGGAGAATTTTCTCTTGGAATTTTGTTGGGAAAAAACCTTATAGACTCTACTTATTGAATTAAATGTCATTGACCTAGATCCTTAACATGGGTTTGTGTTCATCTTGTCCTCTGATAGTAAACCCCTAAAGAGGAAGTTAGTCATTCAGGAAGAGTCAGAAAGGATAGGAACAATTAGAAATTCAGTTCCAGAGAAACTTACTATTTGCTTAATTAATTTTTTATGTATTAGAAAAATAAATGTGTAGCTAAATTCTGTATTTTGAACATGTTTTAACTATTTAACAAAGCATCGAGTAAAACATAAGTATATGTTTTGCTAGAGTAAAGGCTAATTTGATATTTAATTGAAAAAAACATTACATCTAACTTTTCTGCAGGGTTTTCTTCTCTCTTTATACCATAAGTGATTATCACCTGTATTTGTTTGAAAATGATACAGTTCAGACTTTAAAAAATCTTTCACATCTCTGTCTAATCCTAGCACCTGTATAAATATCCAGATTAACCTTACAGAAAAGAGATGATGACTCAAACTTACAAAAGAATTTGAAGTAAAAGTCTGTGAAACTTTAACATTTCCTTTGTATCAAATTATTAGTAAAATTTCCATCCTTTGCTCAGGTACAAAAGTACTGCATAAAATGTGGTATGTCTTTTTTTTTTTTTACATTAAACCAGCACTTGATCTTTAAAATATATACAGATGTGTGATTAGGATAATACTTATCTTATCTATTAATTTATTGCTTATATGTCCTCAAACTTACAGAGGAATTCATTCTTTCATTCTTCTCTGTTTATAAAAGTAGCACTTATTAAGATATTTCAAATGTTAGTGACATATGAAGATCCCCTACAACCTTAACCTCTAGAGATCCTCAATGATTTCTGGATGTCTGGACATCATTTCAATGTCTATTTCATTGCTGTTAAATACTATATTCCACAGTAGGGATAAATCATAGTTTATTTCACCAATTTGCTGTTGATGGTTGGAACAGAATCAAAAGAACTTTGGAGCTTACCTTCCACAGTGCTAATATGAGTAGCATTAACAGCAGTAATCCAGCAAAAGCACTCAAGAGAATAACCCATAATGGCACTCTTCCTGGTAAACCATCTTTGGATATTTGAATAGCAAGCTAAAAATTGTTAAACAAATTGTTAATATAAATAAACACCCTCTAGAACTCCTGTAACATTGCGTTCTTGCAGGCTATAATTTTCTACCAAACAGTGTAGTTAATCTCAGTCCTACATACAGAGAAAACATTGAGTTTACATTGGAAAATGCTCTTCATCTATTATAAATCCCTAACCAGATCAAAATTATTATTACCAAGAAAATATTAAGAATTTTATCTTTCAGAACTTTATACATAGAGAACTATCAATGAATCAGAATGCTTAAGGGTAGGAATGAATTTCTATTTAACTCAAGGAAAACCAAAGTATTGTATATTTTGAAGATTTCTTAACAGACCAGTACATTATCACAACAGCACTGGCTAGGCTGGAAAAACATATGTTGTGAAATAAAAACCTGAGTAGATCTTCTTCTTCTAGTTCTAATGTGCTATAATTCTAATTAAATGAAAATATAATTTTCATTCTATAACATGCACAAATCTCAAGTATATAGATATTTATACATTCACCCTGATGTGTTTTTTATTATACCAAACTATTTCCTCCAGCTGACTTATCTCTCTGTCACCTATTGCTTAGGTCTTGATTAAAGTCAAACTGTGAGACGGATAATTTTCAGTGCTCCAGATACTGGGAGTTTCATAATGAGGTACCCAAACATCAGTGAAACTTGTCTGCTCTGTGTCTCTCTCATCCCTTAGATATCTAAAACAAAAAACTTAATTTGGGTGCATATCAGTGGTTAGCAGTAGCTTGAGTTTCTGTATTTGACTTTAATATGGAATATTTGAATTCCTCAGTCTAGGGGGAAAACTAGGGTAAAAAAGGAATTAACAGGGGACATATTTGCATATAATAGATTCTAATCAAAAATCCCTCAAATCACTCTAGTTAGGTCAATGGTGATAGACTGAAATATAGATATGCATAGAATCAGACCATTAAGAGAGCAAAAACTTCTAAAATGATTGCCTGAACTTAAACATGTAGAAGATGGAGTCTAGATAAGATCAGTGACTTCCCCAAGGTCACACAATTATAAAATTATCACTTTGGGTAAATTCATTAATATAGATATAATTCCTTTAGGATCAAATGTAAAATTAATATCTCCAAGAGAATTTTAAACTAACGTTTTAGGAAAAATAAAGCTAATTAAAAAATTTTACCACAACAGATTTAGGAATCAAATATACTTTCTTCCAATATTATAAATACCTGTATTTTTCAAATTTTAGTGAAATGTTAACTTTTCTGTGAGTGTAATGATTTTGCATTCTGCATTGATCAAGCTAAGTATTTTTATGAAGTGGAAAGTGTTAAATGCATGCATTTTATTTCTTTTTTTAAAAGGAATATACTTACCAGAGATCAATGACACTGGAATAATTTAAAATAGACAATGTTTCAGGAATATGTGAATGGCAGAGAGCTTCTAAATAGAACTTGAATGGAACTTGACTCTTGTAGTGCTGTTTACCACAAGGGATATTTAAATTCTCCCAGGTCAGGAAGGGAAATCATCCTGGTTTCTGTATCCATAACAAGTACTTTGGGCTTATTTCATAGAAGTTTAAGAGTAAAAACCTCAAATTTGTATTTCTACCTAGAACTCAGTCTGAATTTGTATTAGGGTTTACTATCTCATTTTTGTTTCAGATTTCCCAATGACTAAATGCAGAAAAAATTTAAAAAATTCACATGTATTTCTGTATAATATAAAGTCATTTTATGAAAAGAAATTGTTTTTCCAGGTCTGCTCTTCAGATATCAGCTGCATTTTATAATGTCAATTTTTAATAAGGAAAATTACAAATGCATTACTTGTTATCAATGTGAGAGTGAAAACATCTATTTGCTGTGATAGAAGCAATAAAGTCAAACATGGCATGTTAATTGTAAATATGATTTTCCTAGTTTCTTAGGGAGAAGAATAAGGATAAAGTCACATTTGAAGGTAATGAAGTATAAAACAAATAGTATCTGTCACTTACTGAGACCAGTACCAGTCATAGCTTATGGGAATATAAAGTTATTAAAGATTATGTCACAAAATTTGGAGTAAAATGCATAATGCTTTCAAAGCTTAGAGCTGCACTTACCTCTCTTTTTTGGTTGCTACTATCTATAACCAGTGATGAATTTTCACTTTGAAGCGCTCCCCTTATTGTAAGATTTAAGCTGGAAAAATGTGTCTGGAAAGCAGATAGGATTTGTTTTAATATATTATGCTAATAACTAAATGGGAGCTGGTCATGTTTGAGTAATACAGTTATTAAAGCAGAGATGTTCCTGAGGTTAAAAACACTGGTTTTGTTAACTTCCAAACAGAACTGATAGTATCTAATGATGACTGGGTACCCATTCCCCTTTTTGGTCTCTCCAAACCTTCACTTGGATTCTTGTCACTGAGTAAAAATAATTTTACAAATCATTTCCCTTCTGATTTTTTTCTTAGAGAAATAAACCTCAAGTTCTCCTTGCCGTTAACGTACAAGGAAGTAGCTACATAAACATAGCATTAAATACTATACCAGGTTCATATAGGCACTTATTTAGGACTAGCCATAAAATTACAAATATTCAAGGCTGCATAACTTAGAAAAATAGTAATGTAATATGATTAAACCTGAAAATGGTTTCATAGGATCAACTAAATACTTCTTAAGAGAGAACCAAATAATACAACCCCCACACCCAGGTTTTAAAGTGGTCTGTTGTTTGACATAGTTGACTTGAACAAGGGTTAAAATGTCTTTCAAAATGTATCTACATAGAATAAAAGTTCAATATAACACAAATTCATATAGATGCCAGCTCTCTCCATTGTTAGTGGTATCAAAGATTGTCACTCTATAATTCCTCATACTTTCATTGGATTCCAAACTATTAATTTAATGACAAGCTATGATTCTGGAGAAGTTTTCATCTCAAAAAAAAAGGATGAGAGAAACTGAGTGAAATATACTTTTAGAAGGAGATCTTGGAGACAGCTTAGCAATTAACAGGGGAGATGAGACCCACTCAGCTAATTAAGCAGAGCTGGTGCTTAGATCACATTCTGACTTCCAAACTCATGTTCTTTCCATAGTGTGCTTTGAGCACTCATAATAAGTAGTGACATTTGTTGATTTGATTCAATAACTGCAAAGAACAATGCAAACACTTACTTTTACAAAAGTTGGTTTCCACAAGATGAGCGAAACATTCACTTGACTCATGTCAGAAGGAAGGAGATTGCATGTGATGGTAGCAAATTTACACGTGCTGCAGTCCTGTTTGAATGTTGAGGTATATATTAGTAGCCTTCTTATATAACCAAAATACTACATTAAAATACTCTAGATTGTAATTTCCAGGTTGATACTGAACTTATTCTAATTGTAAACCATAAGGTAAAAATAACACTTAGTTTACCAGAAGTGTGCCTCGTCTGAGATCTTCAGATTTTGATATAATTGTTTTCTTTCCAGAGTTGATACCAAGAGGATCCTCCAGGCTATGAGGCCTGCAGTTTGCATTCTGAAAAGCAAAACTTGTTTTTATTAGACAATACCAAAGGGATAAATGAGTTGGTACAGTAACATGAAGAAACTGTGAATGACAGCCATTGCCATTCATTAAAGATTTGTCTTCGTAAGAGAAGAGGCTATTAGGCACCATCCATATATTCCTATCCCCATAAAATAATTAGCATTATCATGGCACTTTTGAATTGCCAACTGATTCCAGTCAGGTTGTAAAAGAAAAGAAAGGATGCTAGTAGAACTTACTATTTTACGAGCAATTTACTCAATAATTTATTGTATTTTTAAAAGATTAGTTTGTAAATCCCAATAACATGGGTTGAGAAAAATTTAAAACTCAGCTGAGGAAAAAGAGCATTGTTCTTTTGTACGATGGTGTTTATATGATGACTTATGAAACACAACTGAAAAGAGGAACTTTTGTCTGTGTTTATGTATTTACTGAATAATATTTTTGAGTCTTCTACATACCAAGGATAAGATCCTTAGCATATGAGGGAGGAAGATATAAGCAGTATCACTATACATGATTATAGGAAAAAAGGTATTTTTCCTATAAAACTGTTTTTCCTGTGTTTCCCGTTTTTCCTAAAAGGCCATGATTATAGGAAAGCTTGCTTTTGGATTGTTTCCCTAGACTCGATCTAATTAAAATTTTGCATCATAGATAAAAGGTAATAAGGATAAAAATTAATAAAGTAATATGAAAATTACAATTTTTCTCTTTCTAGATTTTCACAAATCAATGTTTTAGAATTAGAGGGAAATTCCAGAGTTTCTTTCTTTCCTATCTTTAGAAAAGCAATGATTATGAATCGATTACTGCTGCTGCTTCTTCTTGATTTTGAGAACAATTTTCAAAATGTGTGAAAAGAAAACAAATTTTTCAAATGTCGAAATCATGCATGCATTAATACTGTGATTTTTCATGTTTTGGACTCTAACCAATAATAATTAACTACCATATATTCAATGCTAAAGAAACAAAGGGGGTGCAATATTGCTGTTGTTTGGGATAAGGGCATAAACAATATACTATTATTTTAGGCATAGTTACGTATGTTTAAGAACAACTGAGAAGTGTCTTTAGAGAGCTGTCTGAGCACCTTACACAAATTAAAAAGTATAACAAATACTTCAGGCATAGACAATTAATTATGTAAAGTCTACTATAGTTGATTAAATAATGATTCAAAAAAGATATACCCAAATCCTTAATGCCCTAAACTTGCAAATGTGGCCTTATTTGGAAATAGAGTCTTTGTGGGTATAATTAAATTAAAAATTCCCTGATAAGAATATCATGAATATGAGTGGGCTCTAAATGCAATAAGTGAGAGAAAAACACAGACAGGAAAGGAGAACACAGAAAACCACAAATAAGGCGATTAGAAACAGGCAGAGATTAGAGTTACGTTGTCACAAGCCACGGATCTCGAAGAGTTGCCAGCCAGCCACCAGAAGCTAGGGAAGAAAGCACAGGACAGCTTCTCCCTCAGGTGTCCAGAAGAAACCAACTTAATTATTTCATAGTTACCGATTTTTGGTACTTTGTTACCCTTGCTTCAGAGAACTACTGCATCTACTAAACAACTAGTGGAAGTTATTATTGTAAATTTTTAATCTTCTAGGGCCGGTGATTTAGCTCAGTAGTTTCGCCGCCTGCTGCGCAAGCGCAAGGACCTGAGTTCGATCCCCGGTACCAAAACAAAAAAAGAAGAAAAATTTTTAATCTTCTAAAGGCTATGTTACTTTAAACTTTATCATAGGTGGCATGCTGAGCAAAAAGCTCAAATGCAAAGCAAAGAGGTAATAGTAAGTACACAATCCCAAGGCGCACATGACTTACGTCAGAGGATGACCATCTACTTGGGTACAGCACAGGAAAACCATCTGATGTCAAATTGGGGAATGAAATTGACAGCTTAAGTTCTGGCACTGGAAAATGCCCTCTTTTTCTAATCTGTAGGAAAAAAATAGAAACGTAAATTTTTCTTCCTCTTTTCGTAATGTCCTTTTCATCTTATATAGGACCTTGGTTCTTAATTGATAGATTGAGTTGCATAAAAATTTGAGACCCCAAATAAATATGGTTTATGCACTGTATAGAAATTGGGTTAATGAATCCAGCAAGAAAATATGAATGTTTGTATCATAACAGCTATAATCATATTGTTTCTTCATCCTTCACTTTTAAAATAGCACTGCTATCAATAGAAAATCAGAATCTGATAACTGAAAATCAGAATCAGTTATGCTCTTGCTATGCTTATGGTCCTTTCTTAGAAGCCAGGGTTCTGCAGCCGGAAAGGAAGGAAACCATCTACTTGATCTATGTAGAATAATTTAGCATATTTATGGTTGCTTCGGTCCTGTTCATCATAATTCCCAAAAGCCATAAATCATCTCCAACTCTAGCTAGATAGGATCTGTCAGCACTGTGCAGGAAAACCAGATGCTCATTTGCTTCCCTTCACAATTCTATCCCCAGCTGTGTCACTGGCTTTTGATAACGTGGTCTGATGAGAGTAAGACGGACTTTCATCTCCATCTCCACTTGTTACCCATGAACCCTGAATTCTCACTTAGTATCACACTGTGCTATTAATGACAAATGTAGTGTTTAGAGAAGGATAGAGAGAATGAAGTCTAGCAGGAAGGTGAACTCACTTTCCAGAAGTCCTTGCCTGCTCAGAAGGTGCAATTGAGTTGGGGCCATTGGGTAAAGTGGCCCTCCTTCCTATCACAAGTGTGATCTCCAGGCCCTAACCCTTCTCTACAGCCTCTTTGGGCAGTATCTTTATCCAGTAGGAGCTCTATGAACTCAACAGACAGATACCATAAAATCCACCACCAATCAGACTAAGGCTTCCAGACTGACAGTTTCTCCGATGGTTGCTGAAGATTAAATGTATCCCTTAATCCTGGAATTCTGGAGGTTCTTGACCTGTGCCTAGCCTTTGCAACATGAGCATGTTCCTTAACTCTGTCTTCCTATGCTGATCTGCCCGGGGCTTGCCTAGCATGGCTTCCCATTTGAAATTCATTTCTTCCCTGACATATTGTCAGAAAGCATGTATTCTGTTATTACTTATTTTTTCTTACTAAAAAAAATTAAAGGAAACTAATGACAATAAACAGAAACTGAACTTCCTATAATTCAATTACCTTAATAATGTTTTAGTGTATACTTCATGTCTTAATTATTTGTATATATTCATTTTATAAAACTTATATCACATAAAATTCTGTATAATGTCTGTAAAATTTGTTATGCTATGATATTTTTCTCCAAAACAGGTGGTTTTTTTCGAGAATATGACGGTTAATGGCTAAAAAAGACAATTACAATATCAATATTGGTTGGTGATGATGTGCAACACATTGTGCTAATCATCTTATTTATGTTATTGTTTTAACCTTGTTAACAATCTTGTTAGAAGTGCTTTATCTATGAGGTAACAGACTAAAGTATAAGAATCAAAGTCTTACAAGGTAAACGAACTGGTAAATAGTAGAATTAGGGTTTATTATTTCAGAATGTAACCTCTACAATATCACAATAAACTGTCATTCTTTGAATATATGTTGTTCTTCACAGAATATTTAATTTATTTAATTGACACTGTTAAGCTGTTAGATTTTGCCCAGATTTATTTTCAGGCTATTATAGATAACATTGTTCAGAATGAAATCTTTGTGTCATCAATAATTTCCTAGGGAAAATTGCTGCCAGTAAGTCACTGGATCTTACTTAACAAGTATTCTTTTATTTTTATGTCATTTCACCAATTCTAGAGTTTACCCCAGCAGAATAATGAGAGATGAATACAAAGATTTATGCTTAGGGATATTCTGAACAATGTTATTAATATCAATATTATTCATTATAGGGAGCATATGTTTTAAATTTGACCCTGATAAGTTATAATAAATGAAGATTAATAATAGGCAACTTTTTCATTTCCTCCCTATCCTTCGGTCTCTTTGTTCCCTTCTTTCTCTTCCTTCCTCCCTTCCTTCCTCCCTCCCTCCCTCCTTTTCTCTCCCTTCCTTCCTTCCTTCCTCTACCAAAAAAACCCAATAAAATTCATCTTGAGAATGCATATTTATTTCCATTTTGTAAGAGAACCTTTTTCATGTTGATAATTCTCCAAAAGATTGACTTAATTTATAATTGTGTTGGGTTGTTTCATACTTTTCAGTGTATATTTAAATCTATCATTTGAATGGAGTACTTTTTCCTTCCTTGCATAAAAATAATATAATAAATAAAGTCTATAGCTTGTATTAAGGAGTTAAGACTGGTCTGCTAGGGTTGGGGATGTAGCTCAGTGGTTCTGGTGCCTGCCTCGCAAGTGGAAGGACCTGAGTTCAATCCCCAGTGCCAAAAAAAAAAAAAAAGACTGGTCTGCTAATAGGTTATATCAATTTGGTTCCATGATTTATTTTTTTTCTGGAAAAGTCATTCTAAATTATTATGTTTTAGGAGCAAATTAGAGATATAAGTCTTTAAAATTGATTCCATGAATAATTTTTATCAGTTTAAATAAAATATTTTAAACTGGTAAACTTATAAAGAGAAGTATGCTAGGATATAGAGATTAAATGCTAAAATAATGTGTTTGTAAATATCTTAGTTTATAAATGACTAAATAACTCATTTGGATTAGCTTAGAGATCAATTCTTACCAAGTAGGAGATATTAATTTCATTTCCAATGTTCTCAGTAGAATTAATTACTTCAGGGACAGTTTCATTGGCCCCAACTGAAATATGGTATTCACTTGCAGAACTAAAAAGAATTAATTAAAAAAAATAAAAATAAAACACAAAGTTTAACTTTAATTTGGCCTAATTTTTTTCTTTTTCCATACTACATAATTCCATAGAAATATTTGTAAACAGTTCAAATCAGAGGGGAATTCTTTTATCCAGAAATCCAAAATTCTGAGGAAGATGTGAAGGGTTATGTAATTTAGTTCAATAGTCATTTATGCTTATTTGCCCTAAAATGCTAAACTATATAAAGTTTTTTAAATAAACATTTCCTGTTGACAAGTGAAAAATTTCCATGAATTCATTATCATTTATATTTAGTAAAAGAATCAAAGTAGAATTGAATATTTTTAGTACTGCTAAATTTTCACTAGAATTTTTTGTTCTAATTTACCTTTTCTCAATTTAAATCTTATATTTACTGCTAAACTTAAAGGTTCAATCTTCCCCATTGTTGTGTTTTTTGGATAAACTTTGTATAACTTAAGATCACATTTTAGATGGCACTTCAGTCAAGGGGACACAGAAAAAATACGTGTCAAAATGCAATTTTAAGTAAACGAAAAATTATTAGTAAAATCAGTGTACCAACAGAAGTGAATACAACAAAATAGAAAAAAACCCCAACAATGTGTAAATACTTAAAATTGTAAGCAAAATTTATGCATATATCCTATTATTTTCATTTTTGTGATTTCTTACCCACAAAGAGAAAGTGCCATAAAACAAATTATTAAAACAATAAGATTTTTAGATTACACTTAATTTGCAAATGGTTCTTATATTTTTTGTTTACATTGCACATATTTATTGGAGTTCTGCTTAAGCATGAAAATTTACAAAGGGAAAGTTTGTCAATGTGATTGGTTTGGGGGTACATAACAAGTTCTTAAGGGAAAAATGGTTCATAAATGGTGGAAAAAAATAAATGGCTCATCTGAGAAAATACTTTCATCTTATGTGTTCAGAATTGGTAAGCTGGTCAGATCCCACAGGATAAGAACGATGGCCAAGAAATATCCTGATAATATATCAGAAAATATTATATTTTGTGAAAGAGTTGTAGATCTTCAGGTTGTACTTAGGAGTTAAAACTGGACTGCCAATGCAATCTAGTATCACTAGAACCTCATATTTTAGATTATTTAGAATACAAGTTCTCAAATGGTAGGGTGATGAGAATTATCTGGAAGACTTATTTAACACCATCCCGAGTTTCTGACTCAGTAGGTTTGGGGTAAGGTTGGACAATTTAGCTTCCTAATAAGCTTACAGGAGATTGATAGGAATGCTCTCTTCCCCAGGGACCACACCTGTAGAACAAACATGTTAACAGAATCATAAACATATAAGTGTGGTTTTTTCCTACCTGTAGAACTGTAGTCCAGCTTCATATTTTACTGGGATAGAAATATTTACTTCATTATCAAAAAGTGTTTCAGAAGGTTCTTCACTGTCACTAGAAAATACATAACATATTCAGACAAATCATTATACTGTTGATTATTTAGAAACATTTCCAAGCATTTGCAGAGATGCTTATATTGGCAAATAAGTAAAAGCATAAAAGAGGAGAATTCTTAATTATCTTTTAGTTGGGGTGAGAAAGATCAGAGGTAGGTACTGTTAAAAATTCCCAAGTTAATTCTGATATGCAGCTAGAATTGAAAACCACACTGAGTTTCATGTTTCCCAAAACTTTGTGATAATTTTAAGAAACCCCAGGTTTGATTATTAAAGTGCACAGATTGCTGGGCTTCTCTTCTAGAAATGTACATTTAGTAGGTACAAGTTGGACAAATTATTGTTTTTAACAAAACTGATCTTAGATAATATTTATTTATCACAGATGAGGTTCTTGCAAAGAGATACAACCACCGTCACACAGATGAGAATAAATCTAAAGTCTTCTGTTCTTTCACTTTGATAGTCTTTTCAGATGCAGTAGTTGGATTCATATTATTTATAAAGCATTTATTTATTACCTTGATGTTGGCTATATTAATTATATATAATATACACAATAAATTATGCATACTTTTATTATAATATATACACACACATCTCATACTCTAATATTCATACTTACTAAAAAAGCATGTGCAAATGATATAACATAGGGTTACAGAATAGGATTGTACACTTTGGGAAAGTTATTTAGTCACTTTGTGCTTTAGTTTCTTCATTCATAAAATAGAGGTTTAGTCATAGAATTAATAAATGATGATTAAATGATAAGAAGTGTAAAATGCCTCTAACCTAGCAAATAGCTAATTGGCCTTCATTATTATGATTACACACACCCCTCCACAGGCTGACCAAGCCCCTAGCATGTTATCTCACAGAATAGGCAATGAGTACCTTTTAATGGTTCTGCTTGTTAACAAGTGTATACGGTGGCTTGGAATAGGCAAACAGGGCAGGAAAACCAGCATGCCCTTGGGTTCTACTTATTCATGTGGCTGAGCTCTTAGTATAAATGGCCCCCTCCTCTCTCATCTAATCCATAGTGCATGTAAATTAAGCTTAAGAAGCAACTTTGTACATATGACTTCACTCCTTAAAAACCTTCTTTCGGTCCCTGGCACCAAAAACAGAAAAAGAAAAAAAACACCTTCTGGCTCCTTAATTCCTATCTAGTTAAGGAAAATATGTGTTGGACTGACATTTGAGATATAGCATAATATAGAAGGGTGCACACTTCAGGTGTTTAGGGTGTTTACTTCACTTTACTAGTTTATATGCTCTTTATGTTTCAAATATAACTGATTACAAAGTATTCTTCAAGTAGATCAACTAATCTACCTTTCAGTTTTCTCTCAAGCTGTATATTATCTCTAAAAATATTTTACCCAATCCTATTCACCTACCTCATTGTGAAATACTATCCAACCTTTAAGGTTTCTCAATTATAAATGTATTGATAAAGCTTTCTTAGTTTCTCATTGTCAAGTAGATATAATTTTACTCTTTTTTTTTTTTTTTTTGGTACCGGGGATCGAATTCGGGTCCTTGCGCTTGCGCTGCAGGCAGCGAAAGCACTGAGCTAAATCCCCGGCCCCCAATTTTATTCCCTTTTAAGACTCTGACACATGGTTTATATTTCTATAATGAATTTTCCTTTCTCTACTCTGTATTACAATAATGTTATATCAGTCTCAAGGTCTTACTGAGGTAGTCACTCCATGGGGAGGATAGCAATTTTATATTCATCTTTAGTAATTTTAGTAATTTAGTAAGTTTAGAAAGGCAGTATCTTTCATAGCAGAAATCAAATAAGTATTTGTTGAATTGAATTGAACATGCCAAATTAGTTCACTCATTAATTCATTTTTCACATTCATTTACTCTTCATCTATTTAATAATTACTATATATAGGCACCATGTTAGTTACTGGGAAAAAGCAACAAAAGATAGTGCTTGGTCTCACTGGAGACGGTACAGTGGGATAATTACACAAAGAAGAGAGTTAAACTATCATTTCAATTTATTATTTTTTGCTATTTTTTTGTCTGTGTTTTTTATGATAACACTTAGAGGTTTTGACTAATTTGGATAAAATTTCTTAAATTAAAAAGGCAAAGGCAAAACATTAAGTCCAGCTAGTGATTCAGATGACCTTTGATGGAAAATTTTTAAATTAGCAGATCTTGTAAAATCTTAAATGAGTGCGATTTAGCAGATATAACCGATGTGTGATTATAATATGCTCCACAGCTCATATACCAATGATTTAATCCAGCTGATTAGATTATTACTTTTAAATAAAAATTTCCTTATTTTATTAATTATGGAAAGGAGTATTTTTGTGAAGCAGTGTGGCTCATGGACTTTTACTTCTACTAATGTCATACAAGTTGCAAGAACTTGCTAGTGACTCTGTAAAGCAAAATATTCTAATTATATGAAAGTAATTATATAAACATAAACATACACATTCATACACACATAAACCAACCTTGTTGCACTTAAATGGATGAACATGTTTTCCATGAGATAAGTTGTGTTAAATTGAAATAATATCTTGAAAGTTACCTATGAAGTAAAAATACATCTCTTTACCAGCAGATCTATATACCTAAATATATTCATTTTAAAACAGAGGAAAACATATTTGGATCCATTAATTTATTAGTATAAGAATTGTTCTAGAACTTTAAGAAATGAAAAGAAAATAAAGCAAAAACTTAGCTACTTAGAGTAAACTAGAATGAGAAAATAGTTTTGTTTGTAAAAGTTTACATAGTTAATATTATACTTAATAAAAATTTGAAAATATTTCTGTTACATGAACACTCTGATGCAGGTAACTGATTTTTAAGAAACTATGCCTGAACACACATAGACTACACAATCCATGGCTTTGTGAATATCAGCAGGTAAACTAAAAAATTATTTGTTCTTGTCCAAGAAGCCTTATAACAATACTTATTAAATTACATTTCCCATTGTCAGAATTAATCTTGTTTTATGCTGAAGTATTTTGTAATTAGGGTCAGCAAAACAGTCCAAAATGTACAATAGAAACTATCTAAAATTTTATCTTTAGGGCTGGGGATTTAGCTCAGTGTTTCTCACGCCTGCCTGGCAAGCACAAGGACCCAAATTCGATTCCCAGTACCAAAAAAAATTTAAAATAAATAAATAAATAAAAAATTTATCTTTGCGATTAAGCCCTAGACAGGAGCAGTTTTGATTTTTTAAGACTCTTTTAATCTATTTAGGCACTATTCATATAAGAGATCACCAGAATCTCACGGGTCATTGGTTTGGCACTATTGTACCATGGAGTTTTCTTTTGTATTTTCTTCTTCCATATATATATATATTTTATTTAAAATGAAAAAGGAAAAGGAAGGGATCTTTTAAGAATCTGCAATCACTGCAATATTCTTATTGTTTTGAAATAGTAAAATTTCAGTAAAAATTTTATTTTTCTGGATGAGCTTGAGATATCACAGACAAAGGTCAAATGTTTGAGTGGCTCATTGAGAGCCCTTTCCCTGCCTTTCTTTAACCTCCATGACTAGTCGGGGCAAGTAAGTTTTTGCTTTCTTGCTGAGTTTTTATACCTAGGGCAAAACACCAGAAGAGAAGCAGAGAAGAAAAAAAGATATTTATTGCATATTCATCTTATCCTAAAATGCTTAAACTGAAAAATCTAGATCTTTGAAACCCAAAAATATTCTGTTTAAATAAAGCCATGTTGAAATTACTTGCAAATTGTCTATCTGCCTAAAGATAAGATGCATTGCTTTAAGCTTTTACTCTGAGCAACAAGGAATTGCCAAATAGAAGAAGAAATGATTAAGAATGGTTAAGTGCAGGAAATTAAATTTTTTCTGGAATGATGTGGGACAAGGGGGTATCTATGTGGAAAAAAAGTTTTTAATTGGGTTCTTTTCTTACATCCAACAAAAAAAGTTATTAAAAATAGGTTACAGACCAAAACATAAGAGTTAAAATGACAGAACACTTTGAAGAAAACATAGAAAAATATTCCTGACCTTGAATCAGGGAAAACTTCCTTAGATATGACAGCAAGAATACAGGCATAAAAGATTAAATAAACTAGACTGAAAGTGAAAATACAACCATGAGAATCAGAGAAAATATTTGCAAATCATATATCTAAATAGGAACTTGAATGTTGAATATAAGAAGAACTTATAATTTAGAATATAAAAGTAATATAAAATAGATAATATAAAATGGGTAAAGGGTCAGAACACATTTCTCCAAAGCATATATACATACGGCCCATATGCACATGAAAAGTTGCACAAAATAAATATCATTAGGCATTAGAATAAGTGCAAGTCAAAATCACTATGCGGTTTTACTTCACATTCACCAGAGTAACTATAATAAAAAAGATATTCATGATATTGAGAAATCGGAACCTTCATTCATTTCTGGTGGGAATGTAGCTCAGCAGGTCTATTTATCTGCCATAATTTTGTCTTTGTATTTGAATTTGATTCATGTAATACTTGGCTTTTGATTTTGATTTTGTCTTAGTTTGTTTAGACTGTTATAACAAAATACATTAGACTGAATAATTTATAAACAACATAAACGTATTGCTTGTAGTTTAGAAGCTGGGAGTTTTGAGATCAAAGCACCAACCAACTCAGTGTCTGTTGAAGGCCTGTTCTCTGTACATTGTGACTACTCTGTGGCCTCATAAGATAAAAGGGTCGAACAAGCTCCTTGTGAACCTCTTTTATAAAGCCACTAATGCCAAAGGCTCTACTTCTTTTTTTTTTTTTTGGTACCAGGGATTGAACTTGGGACCTTGTGCTTGCAAGGCAGGAGCCTCAACCACCGAGCTAAATCCCCGGCCCATTCTTCTTTTTTTTGTTTTTTTGTTTTTTTGTTTTTTTGGTACTGGGGATTGAACTCTTGAGGCAGTCGGCAGAACCACTGAGTTAAATCCCCATCCCCACTCCACTTCTTAATACTGTAAAATTGGAGAATAAATTTCAACATAAGAATTTTAGGGCAACAGAAGAATTTTGGACTATATGAAATTTCAAGCTGTAAAAAGTTTAAAATCAACCTTTTTCATCCACATTGTGCAAATTATGGCTCTGTTGTGGATGTGTTAAGCATGTTGTTCTTCATACCCAATTGCTACATGTATTGTGTATAATCTGCTCACCATTTCTCCTCTTCTCAGGAAAGGATATCCAACCTTACATGTGATGTTATGATTTGATTCGCAGCTGTCTTTTTGGATCCCCTAGGAGAAGAAAATAAACAGGATTAGAGCAGAGAAGCAGGTGAAAACAGTTTCCCAGCTATGCCTTGGGGACTGCAGTGCCAGGATGTTCTCTTAGTTTGACTGGGAGAGTCACATCATTCTGGGACCACCTGTTCCATGATTCATTAAAATACAAAAACATCACTTGAAAGTGCTGGAAAGACAGCACATCTCATTATCCTGCATAAATCCTCAGTTGGAAAATGAGACCACCAGCAGCACCTCCCTCACAGGTGATTGTAGTGATTGAACAAAATAATCCACACATACTGAACTGGCACAGAGCAGCACACAATGAGCATTAGTACTTAGAGGAGGTTAGCAGAGTGGAGAATAAGGACTCTGACCTGCAACTGCCAGGATTTAACTCCTGAATCTACCACTACTGGCTTTATCCTAGTCAAGAGTCCTTACCTCTCTGTGTCTGATTTTCTAACAAATGGAGTTAGTAATACTTTACTTGATCCAACCTTAAATGTAATTTAATATGCAGTACACCATTATTATATATATCAATAAGGAGGGAAAATAATGCTGCCAGTTAAATAAACACACTATCAATTTAAAATGGAATTACAGAAATGCAAAAACGCAAAAATGCAAATTTTCAGATCTGTGCAGTGAGTAGGTATAGCAACACTTATAAAAGAATTAATGAGAATTTAATATGTGAAATCCTTAAAATAGTGCCTAGCACATAATACAGCTAAAGAAAGATAGGCCATTATGATTACTGTTGTTGTTAAAACATTAGAGGAAAGGGCCAGGGATTTAGCTCAGTGGTTCCTCCGCCTGCCCTGCAAGTGGAAGGACCCGAGTTGGATCCCCAGTACCAAAAAAAACCAAAAAAAAATTAGAGTTGCACTGTGAGTTTTATAGCCAAGGCCATTAAGTCGGCTGAAAATGACACAGGCAATGATGTTTAATATGGTACCCTTTCCAGAGAAAACTTCAGTGGTAACATTTCCCAACATTACTTTGCACTTACATTTTGTATTGATATAATTACTTTGTATTCATAATTAATACTCTGAACCCAAGATATATTAATGACATTTTTGTCAAGTCTACTTTAGTCATCATGTCTCTGATAGTCTAACAAGTGGAGAGATGTATCAGTGATCTGAATTTATGGAAATTAGACAATAGTGTTCACACTATGTACATTTTTTAATGTGAATCATACATATTACTAATTCATATAAATATATACAGAATTTAAATTCAAATTCATTCATTTATTTGGAGATCACAATTAAAAGCAAAGTTCAAATTTGGAAGCACTAATAACCTTGATATGGTCTTTTATGCAGATATTTTATTGCCAAAATATTTTTTAAAACCTACTGGACATCGCCGCCTGCTGCGCAAGCGCAAGGACCCAAGTTCGATTCTCATACCAAAAAAAAAAAAAAAAATTAAAAAAAACACAAAAAACTACTGGACAGATATTTTTACTGTCTCCCAAAAGAATGCCTTCTGTTATGAATTAATAAAACATAGTAATTTAATACAGACCTGTCAAAGTAAGGATTTTGCCTGGAAAGGGAGAAATAGTATCTTGATTTTCTGCATATAAATTATGGGGGTTTTTTCAACACAGAGATCTTTTTCTGCACCTCTGTTAAAACAACATTAACTTTGTTTTTTCTGCATATAAATTATGCTTTTTTTCAGCACAGAGATCTTTTTCTGCACCTCTGTTAAAACAATTTTAACTTTGTTATATTTACTTTTTTTCTTGACTCAATCTCAATTTCATTGCTTAAGGTGTCTGTGAACATACTTTTTTTTGGTACTGGGGATCGAAATCAGGACCTTGCATTTGCGAGGCAGGCGAGGTGTGACTGAGCTAAATCTCCGGCCCTGAACATACATTTTTGATACATTAGCTGTCTTTTCCTCACACTGACCTTAAGAAGAGACATACATCTCTGAAGAAATAAAACAAAACAAAAAAATCTTTGAATAAAGCTTGATACTTTCAGGATTAGTGTATAGTGATTTTGCACAAAATATTCTCTATTCTTCTAGAATGAATGTAATAAAATCAATTATCTTAGTAATATGAAAAGTAGGTTCAATAAATGATGGTTATAATAATAAATAAATGAAAACTCCAAGTTTACCTCAATTCCCGAAAAAATTAGATTTGGAGAATATTGTACTATTGTTCTGGTGTTATAAGCACTGTCACCTTTATTTTTGACTGTGAGGCTAATGTTGAACTTGTCATTCTGGGGCCTGACAATAAACAAGCCCTTTTCTGTGGTGGATACATCCAGGGTGAGGTCAGATATACATTTTTCCTTGTTTCCACAATCTTTGGCAAAGGGAATCTGAAACAGTCACAGGAAATAGTTTTCAAATTGTTTTTAAGCATTATGGAAAATTATCTGTTAATTGGTGCAGCAGAAATGACAGTGTTAAAGTATGTTGATCAATTAATTAAAGAGAATCAATTATGCAGTACTGCAGAAATCTTGAGGAATTTTAGATTATTCTTGTAAGAATAAACTTTTCACATAGATATTTTTCTAGTAATTTATATAAAACTTTCTTGCCCTTTTAAAATGCATAATCTTGGATACTTTTCACTTCCTTTAGTCAACCATAGAACAGTTTTTTAAAAAATCAAGTCAAGAAGTGTAAGATTGAAATCTAATCAACTCCAGTTATGAGACTTTCTATTGAAAAGAATCAAATACTTAGGAATGTAACAAAGTTCAGTCAAGAGGGTAAGTGAAGCCACATATTTGGCAGTTTTACTTGATTTTCTTCATTAAGTCCTCCCTCCACCAGCTTCTTACAAGGATTGTTTATCCCACCTCTCTTCTAAATACGTATCTGCCAAATCCTTTCTCACCAATCTTCTCTCTGAATTAGAGTAACAGTCTCCTAGCTGGTCTCCTCCACTCACTCTTACTTCCTTCCAATCATTCTCCATATTGTCCCTGAAAAAATTCTTTAAAAAATACACACCCAGTACCATCATTGAACCAAATTTAAACTTTCAACACCATTGCATTGCTTTTTTAAAAAGTTAAAAATTTGCACAGAGGCACCAAGTCCTGGAGGATCTGGCACCTGCCTTTGCCTCCTCTCTCATCTCACATCACCCTTGTGCTTTTTCAGCCACATCAGCTTTTCTGGTACCCCAGGACCTTTCCATGTACTATACCCTTTGCTCCCTCATCTCCTCCAAATAACATGGAAAATCACCCTATCCTTTGGTAAAAAATACAGAGGGTCCTCCCAGATTCCTCCACTGATGTAGAAGTTCCCAATGAGATCTAAAACTCTCCTCTATAGCACACCCTTAATTACTTACATCCGATTCCCAGGTTAGACTGTAATTTCTGTGTCTGGTAGAGCTGAGACAATAAATATATTTGGAAGGTTGGAAGGGAGAGTGGAAGATAGTTGTATGGGGAAAGCTAACTCCTCCATTGATGCTATGTGCTTGACATCCTCCTCCTTCTCTTTCCCCTCATTCACTCTCTGCTATGGAACAGTAGACTCTGAAATTGGAAGCAAGACTAGGGGAACACAGCCCAGTCTGTTCACAATATTTTGTTCTTGGGGTAGGAGCATAGCCAAGAAAATATACATCCGGGCCAGCTCCTCTACTTTTTGTGCATTATAGGTGGGCCACAATGGAGAAGGCCAGAGATTGGTCAGCACTGTCAGATGACTTGCTGTCTTTTTGTGGTCTAAGTACAAGGTTCAGTACCAGGACACCCAAGATACCTAAACCATGTCTTTTAACACCATGTTTATTAGGATAAAAGGGGAAATTTCTTTCAATTGGTCCTGAATTCAGGTGATGTGAAAAAAGGGCATCATTTATTAGTTTCCCTAAACTCCTACAAGTGGAAGTAAGAGGGATTGGGAGATGTCTGCAAAAGGCTAATTTCTATATGCCTATACATACATTATTGATTTAGCACTATGCATTTCCATATCTCAAGCTTTTTCCTATTATATTCACAAAAAAAGTATTCTGACTTACATATTCATGTACTGAATTTGGTAAAGAATCATCAAGAACAGGCCCATTTTCTGGATCAGTAAGGTTAAAATCCAAAGTTATTCTCACGGAGTCCTGAAAGTCATGCTTGTCCTAGAAGTAGAAACATAATATGTCATTGGTATCACATTTGCTTGATGTTCCGTTCTTCTGGCCCCAAGGTTTATTGGAACCTTCTTGAGCAGCTAACCTAGCCTATGACCTCATCAGGGTTTTGCTTCACTGGAAGGGGATAGCTTTTCTGCTTTGACAAGGGACACAGGTGGAAAGCAGAGACCTCAGGCTATGACCAACTGATTCACTACAGCTACTCAGAATCATCTGCTGGTATGCTGAGATATGTGGTAACCTGCATAATATCATTTCTCTTGAGACTTCAGTTTAAAAAAATCAATATGCAAAACAGCACTTCCAGGAAAGTCTCCCAAACCTTCTTTAAATTGAGTCATATATCTATATATAATATTACATATATATAATGTAATATAAACATGCTTCCATAAAAATTTTATAATGTAAACTGATACGGAAAAAATATAAATATGACTAATATTATTAATACTATCATCAATAACTTTCATTTACTTTGTCCACAATTATGAGCTTTATATATATTATTATGAATTACTTCAATATTCCTCAAAGATGAATAACTATTAGAGTTTTCATTTTACAGATGATAAATTGAACCTCTAAGACTAAATGACCTTACCACAGTCACTCAGAATGTAGGAAATCTGACTACAGAATAAATGTTAAAATGTTCATTAAAATCCAAAAGAATTCTAGAATTTTGGAAATTAGTCCATTCTTTTAAACACAGTACCTAGACATGGATTAGACACTGAACTTGTGAATAAACACAGACTGTAATTATTTTCAGTAGGTTGAAGGCAGTTCATCAAATTTTTTACATGTTCTAACTCCTAAATGTTCACTTTTGATAAACTAAATAGGAGGGATGACTCCAGTTTTATGTTCTCAGATCACAGTCGTATCTTAATGTTAACAGAATGTGTATATATATATATTTTTTTCTTAGTTACTTTTCCTGTTGCTAAGACAAGATACCCAAAATCCAAAGTTAAAGGAGGAAAAGTTTATTTAACTCACAGTTCATAGAGGTTTCAGCTCATAGTTGGCTGCTTCCAAGGCAAGATGGCATGGCAGAGAGGTACAGCAGAGGAGAAATAGTCCATAGCAAGCAGGCAGGCAAGAGCAAGCAACAGACAATCACAGCTCTTTCTATCCCTTATATCTTATTCAGGCTGCTTAGGGTGGATAGCACTCACATCCTTAATCCTAGCGCCCTTGAGCCTAGCATCGCACTATGAATCAATTCCAGGGTCACACACACTAGATTCAGCCACCTCTGAAAAAGCCCCACCTCTGACTTCATGAGGCTTTAGGGGGACATCTAGACAAAAACCATAACATTCCACCCCTGCACCCCCAAAGACTCAGGCACATCATTTTATGCAAAAGACATTTAGTCCTTGTCTAAGAGTTGCCAAAGTTCTAACAGTTTCAGCATTGCTGAAACATCCAAGTTCCAAGTCTCCTCTGATATTTAAGGCAAACCCTTAGCTGAAAACCCTTATACAAATGAAAAGAAAGTTAAACACTTTCAACATTCAATGGCAGAAAATAGACATTTTCATTCCAAAAATTACAAACAAGGAGTTACCAAGAAATGGGAACAAAGCAAGACTGAAATCCAGCAGGGCAAACATTAAATCCCACAGTTCCACTTCTAGCATCCCCAGCAATCTGTGGCAAATAGTGAATTCCACAAAGGTTTGGGTAGCTCTGCCTCTACAGAAGTTCTGGTGGTTGTAGCTCCCATGGCTTCTCTCTGGGGCTGGCTCTGCCCCCTCCTTGCAGTTTTCCTCAGATGATCTATGTTCCTGGCTTCTCCAAACTTCTGGGGTCTCCACTGCACCTTTGGCTTCATACTCACACATTCCTATACTATGCTTTCAGGAGCACACTGCCTGGCTTCCCAGGCCTTCTTCTGATACCTGGGTGGAAACCTTTATGACCCCACAATTCTTGCGTTCTTCATGTACCTAAAACCAGCCCACATGGATAATGCCAAGGTCTACCACCAGCTGGAGCAGTAACCAGGCTTCCTTCTCTCTTGCCTATAGGGGTTAAGTGTCTAGATTGTTGACACTCTGCACCCAATCCCAAGGAACAAATTCTCTAGGCCACCACCATTCTGGAACATGGTCCTCTGTGGATCTCTTCTCAAAACAAAGGCTTTCACTTTTGCAGTGTTGAGGCTGCAAAGGCTGGAGTCCTGCTGGTTCTTATAATGGCCTCAGGCCATTTTTTTCCTGTTTCCATCTTCTGAAATACTTGTTTTTTTTCTTGTTAGTCTTTTTCAGTGACCAATTTCTCCTCTGTTCCATCTTTTTCAGGCTGTAACTTTACTGAAGCTTCCTCTCTGGACAAACTCACAGCGTTTTAAATCATTCTGTTAGGCTCTTTGCTCTTGACTATCAACATAAATCCGGCTAAAAGCTCCCAACAGTAGCCATGCCAGGCCTCAACATTACACTGTCTTGAAATTTCTTCTGCCAGATTATTTAATCCACTGCCCTCAATCTCAGTTTCAGGCAAAGTCTCTGGACACCAGAAAAATGCAGACAAACTTTCTGCCAAGCCATAACACAGATCATCTGGAGTTCAACAGCCAATGCAGTCCTTCTTCCCAACAGAAACCTCCTGAGCCCTTTACCTGTAGGATTTATATCTGGATTCTTGTTGTCTGAGGTCTGACCAGAATCTCTCATCAAGTACAGCCTCAGGCATTCCAGCTCTACTCTTTTGGCTAGCATCTCCAAATCTTTCCTAACTCTTTCACTTTCCACAAGCCAGCTTGAAAGGCTCCTAAACCACATGGTCAGGTACAGTCACAGAAATGACCCCACTCCTGGTACCAAATTCTGTCTTAGTTATTTTTCCTGTTTTTGAGACAAAATATCCAACACTCAATGTTAAAGGGAGAAAGGTTTATTTAGCTCAGAGTTCATAGAGGTTTCAGCTCATAGTTGGCTGCTTCCAAGGCAGGATGGCATGGCAGAGAGGTATAGCAGAGGAGAAATAGTCTGTAGCAAGCAGGCAGGCAAGAGCAAGCAACAGAGAATCACAGCTCTTTCTATCTCTTATATCTTATCCAGGCTACTTAGGGTGGATAGCACTTACATCCTTAATCCTAGTGCCCTTGAGCCTAGCATTGCTCCATGAATGAATCCCAGGGTCACACACACTAGATTCAGTCACCTCTGAAAAAGCCCCACCTCTGATTGCATGAGGCTTTAGGGGAACATCAAGACACAAGCCACAGCACTCACCATCTGTAGAGATTAATAATTTACTTTTCAAGCCTCTCTCATTTACTGAAATAGAAAGAAGCTAAATCAGCACAAAGCCTGAGATGATAGAAAATACCAAAATTTTGCTCCTTTAATCTAAAGTCAAAGAGCAAGATATATATTTCAATGGAGCCAGAAAGCATATGACCCAATAATTTTCTCTCGGGACAGTTAGTTTATCACTTGTCATACACATTTGACAGAGGAAACTCACAGAATTTAAATGATGCTTTCATATTAAATAAATAAGTGAATGAATCAAAAAAATGAGTAAATGAAGGTTTCTCGTCAGTTATTACATGAATTTCTGATACAAACAGGGAAGACTAATGATACTTTTATAAAATATATTTGGAAATAATAAAATCACACCTGTGATTTTCTGGTAAGTGTGAACAAACAATATCAAATTAATATTGTTCACTTTAAAGTAGAACAGTAAGAACTTGACTGACTTGAGATGTCTATACTATATCCTTAATTTGGAATAAGGCAGCTATAATATATGATTTACTTGCCAACATGTAGAAGGAGTGCTTAGTGCATTTGGATGCTCGAACTGTGATGTTTCTTTGAATTCTTCTCTCCTGAGTTCCAGAGAAAAAGCTTCGTGATATCTGTCTTAGGGAATCTAGGGTAACACGGTACTGTATATCTTTAAAAGTAAAAGAAAAAGTGATAGAAATGTTTTTCATATGATCCAACTCATTAAATTAGCATTGTAGAAAAATCTCTTGAGCAATCAATCAATAAAAAGGTCCTATTATTCATCATATCTACATTACTGTAATACAATAATATCAGCTGTCACAAAGACAACCTTGAGGAACTCTTATGGAACTGTTTTGAGTTCACTTTGCTCCCAATGTTTAATTATACTTACTTATAATGCATAAACCCACACAAGCTCATGCATGCACACTTACACATCAATTTACTGACTACGTGTGTGTTCAATGGATTTTTCCCTTAAAATATTTGTTTTAGTTTAGAAATACTAGAACACTGATTATATTTCAATAGAGACAAAAATAGGTATTAATAATATTTTTATTTTTTATAAAGAGATTAATCTTAGATTATGTTCAAACACTATTAAGTTCAATAAAATAAGCATACCATAATAAGGAAAACAAGTGAAATCCTATACTTTGTATGTGGGCTACAATCTGTATTTGATTATCTAGTTAACAAAAATTAAATAAGACTGAAATAATGCTGCATACTGAAACTTAAATCATTATTTTACATTCCTATATTTCATTTACCTTCTAGTGAGGGGACTATTTTAGAGCATATATACACACAGAGAGAAAAATTGGTCTTAAAAAGTATTGTTTTTTCTCGTCCTTATATTCTTTGCAAAATAAATTACTCTTCTGCAGCCAAAGGGCTTTATAGCTTTGATGTCAACATATTTAAACATCTTTTAAAAACTGCTTAGAAAGCACAGTGCATAGGGATGAGGGGTTGACATGATGAACTGAGAACTCCACATGAACAACTCTTACTCTGAAAACCGGCAACACCTTCTCAATGGAAAGAAATGTCTAAGCATCTGTGTTCAGATCATCTGTAACACCAGTCTTCCCCAGAAGGGGGCAGGAAAAGGGAGAGGATGCTTGGTGATGAAAAGTTTATTTAGCTTCCTTAAATCCAAAGGAAAGATAATTGGGCTCATTTGGAGCCCATTTCTAAATGCTGCCTCTATATATCTTAGCATCTTATTGTTCATAGTAAATAAGAGAGCCAGAAAACACTCTGATGTTGAGGTCACTGCACACAAGCATGTAATTTTTTTTCTACAGAATTAGCTGGGTTCTGAAATCTATTCTTTGTACAGCAGAACTGTTTTCAACAGCTTATGGAGCAAGTGTAATGGGCAGTTCACCATGGCTGGGGGAACTTCAATATCCTACTAAGTCTCATGCTGGACCACATACACCATCCTCTGCCCAAAAGAACTAGCTATAATGATTATGCGTACCAGCTTCATAAATCGAGTCTTCTTTAGACCTCAGTTTCACATCAAAACACATTATAGCATTTATGCACACTGTTTCTCTTCCCTCCACGTGGCAGTTTTTCTTTTCAATATTCACTTTATTGGGTTCAAAATTCATGGTGATTTTAACTACAGCCACATCTCGGGACCTAGAAACACATAAACAATGGGGATTACTCTCACATTTTACATTTAATGAATGCCATCCACCTGAGAATGCAATGTGAACGCATTGAAGATTCTCCTTTGTATATAATATGGACTCTCAGGGCCATTCTTTAATACAAAAGAGAATATGTCCTGTGTTATGAGGAGACACAGGATGTTTTAGATCATTTGGAGCATCTGGTTCAAAGGCCAAAGTTCTACTTTTGCTTGTGATAGAAAAGAGATGCAAACAAGTGCCCAAGTGCAAGCTCAGAACCAAAACTGTACTTTGGGTATTTCTAAGTTTCCAACTGAGTCCAGAGACCCCTAGAAAACTTGGGGTATCCTTGTTAGCTTTCATGTGGAGTATAATACTTGTCTGTTCTTTGTGGATTCAGCCCTGTTTCTGGGAAGAGTTAGTAGAATAATATTCGAGACAATATGTTAGGCATGTGTGTTATTTCATTTAATTCTTGAATTGCCTTTAATAGGAAGAAATGCACTGGCCTTATCCACAGTTTTGCTTTCTACAATTTCAGTTATATGTGGTCAATCATGGTAAATATATATATTAAATGGATATATATGAATATATATCCATTAAAGGTATAATATATATATTAAATATATATTAAATGGAGAATTCCAGAAAGAAACAATTCATACATTTTAAATTGTGTGCTAGTCTGACTAGTGTGATCCTGCAGCTTCCTGGTCTGTCCTACCTGGGATATGAAGCATCCCTTTGTCCAAGGTATCCACACTCTATATCCTATCTGCTCCTTATTTAGTAGCCACATCAGTTATTGCATTGACTGTGCACCATCACACTTATATATTAACTCAAATAATTTTTTTTTGTACCAGGGATCAAACTGAGGACCTTGTGCTTGCAAGACAGGCAGTGGCACCACTGAGCTAAATCCCCTGCCCTTCCATCACACTTATAAAGTCTGCTACCCTCTGAGGTTTCAGGTATTCACTGGAGGTTTTGGAAAGCACTCTCATTGTTAAAGGAAGATTGTATTATTATCTTTATTTTGGATGTGAGGTAACTAAAGTAACTGAGACTCTGACCGGTCAAAAGCTGTTAAGAAGGAAAAACTTGGATTTAATCTTAGTCCTAAAGCACTTAGTCTTCATCCTAAAGCCCAAGGATTTCCACTGTTCCAAAATCGTGGCAGAGTTAGATTTTAGGCAAAAAGAATATGTAGAATATGATGTCATTGCCTTAGAATGCAGTCAGAATAAGTGTTGGACATCTTTACTTGGTTTCTGCTTTGGGAACAGAACTGGATCCTTATAACTAGATATCTTCTGAATACTGATGTCTCCAATTATTCTTTTGCAATTGAAAAATGATATTCTTTTTTCTTTTAAAACAATTTACTTATATAAAACATGACAAAACATGGAAATGTATAAAGAAAATTCAAGTAACTTATAATTCTATCACTTTTAATTTTATCACTCAGCAATAATTAGCAGCAACATTTAGTACCCTAAGTGTTCTAACTCTGCAGAAGAACAGCAACACATGTATATACACACATGTACTGGTACTATATATATACACATATAAATATGTATACATGCATATTTTTGAAATTATAGCAAACAGTTTTCCAATATTTATATTTTTCTGAGTACTTTATTTTTGATGGCAGTCTACTATACCAGCATGTACATATGATTTATGTATTCACTTCTCTCTCAGTGGATATTTAGCCTTATTTCTTTTTCTTAAAAAATGGTTATTAACATAGTGCTATGATTGCTGTAAAGATAATACATCTTTAAACACATTTCCAGATTATATCTTTAAATTGTTTTAGGAAGTAAATTCTTTGTTAAGCATGAGTATTTAAAGATGTTGTAATACTTACTGGCAAATATTTTCTGAGTTTCAGCCAGTTTACCCTTTCATCAGCAATGGATGAACGTGCCTAGTTTTATGTTTAGTACATGGATTCTCCATCCATGAGACTGCTTGGCCACTGTCTACCTCACACACCCTGGCTGTTCTGATTGGATCTCGATGTGGCTATGGTTTGGTCTAGTCCAGGAGACAAGGCTCTTGCTTTCTGCTTCTGGACACCTTTGATCATCTCTGCTGTTTGCTTTCCCTTTGTATCCACTCAGTACCTGCTTTAGCACTGCAACACTTAATCTTTTTGTTCCATTATCCTGGTTTGCTTCTTTCTGCTGTTAACAAAGCCTGGGCTATGGCAGGAACTATTTCTGTTTCTGTGAATCAGGTAAACTAAAGAAGAGTCAATTATCCCAAAAAACTTGTACAGAATTCAAAATTTGAGATTCTTTCTTGATTATACACTTCTTTTAAGAAAAGTTTGTTGGGCCAGGGATTTAGCTCAGTGGTTTCGCTGCCTGCTGCACAAGTGCAAGGACCCAAGTTCGATCCCCGATACCAAAATTAAAAAAAAAAAAAAATTTTGTCCGCTCCTCCACCTTCCCTGTGTTAGTCAGCTTTCCTCTTGCCAGGACCAAATACCCAGAGGCCACAACATAAAGAAGGAAATGGCTTATTTTGGCTCAGAGTTGCAAAGGATTGAGTTTATGATTAGCTAGCTCCCAAGAAGAAACAACATGGTGGCAAGGTGTGACATAGTAAAGATACTTAGTTCATGCAGCCAAGAAACAGAACAGAACAGCAGCAAAGAGAAATCAAGAGACCAGATACAGACCCCAGGATCATGCCCTCAGGACTCATACAGACACACCTAGAAGAGTGCCCTTCTAATCCCCTGCACTGCTCCCAAGCCAATCAAGTTAACAATTAAGCCTAACTCAAGTGACTAACTCAGATCTATTTAATGGAGCATGAAAAAGAAATAGACCTTTGGTATGGCATGAGTTCCAGTCAAATGCTGAGATCTGGAATTATCTGTGAAATAGGGGTAGATTATAAAATATGTACCAAGGGCCGGGGATTTAGCTCAGTGATTCCGGTGTTTGCCTCGCAAGCGCAAGGACCCAAGTTTGATCCCTGGTACCAAAAAAAAAAAAAAAAAAATGTACCAAATGTTATAAATTACGTACCAGAAAAGGGCTGCACCACCAAGGCCCCCAATTGTCACATCAGTCAGACCATCATCATTTAAATCCATTTCTCCATGGATAGACTGGCCAAAAAATTTCAGTGTCTTGCCATCCCCACCTGATGGAATACGCTGTGAAAGAGAGTTTCATGTCAGAGGACTCTGGTCAAAGCAGTTTCAAATAAACTCAAGAATAGATTGGTTAATAAAAAATTTAAAGTTATTGTGGGAATCAAGAGGTATTCCATGTGCAAACAAGAGGAAATACTCAGGTGTTTCCAAAGCACACTGTTCTTTTTATTGTACAGACAAATTCATTTATAGGTTACTGACATTAGAAAAAAATAGGAAAAATATATAATGTCATCTTGTCTAATCCTCAAGAGAAACACTATGAGCAACTGGCTCTACTTTCTAGTTCCTTTTCACTCTTGTTACACAGAGATATTTAAAGGTATTGGAAAACTTGGAAATATATCATATAAGCAAGGAGAGGAGTGGATTATTCTAGGGGTCAAATTGGGGCTTATTAAATTTTGTTGCTGGTTATGAATAACACATTGTATTAAGTATATTTTCCTGGGCCAGGGATTTAGCTCAGTGGTTCTGCCGCCTGCCTCGCAAATGCCAGGTCCTGAGTTCGATGCCCAATACCCGCCCCCCCCCAAAAGAAACAAATATATTTTCCAATTATACAATCTTTTTTACTGTCTATCAAAAATTATATTCACTCGTATCCACAGTGTAGGGAAGGTACAAGGGAATATGAAGTTCTTGAAGGCTGATCTGTGCACACTACCATATATGATATGTTCATTATCTGCACTTCTTTTTGTTGTTGTTGCTTTGTTTTTGTTTTTTGGTACCGGGGATCAAACTCAGGAACTTGCGCTTGTGAAGCAGGTGTGGTGCCACTGAGCTAAATCCCCATCCCTGTACTTCTTGACTTAGTATTAATGAAAGGTGATGCTATTTAAATAGAATCTGATGGCAGGAGATAGGACTGAAAGACCCTTCCTAAACTGAGGGTCTTCTCATCTTCCTGATTTCTACTTAAAAAAATAAAAATAAAAACTCGAGGCAAACCAAATAGAAACTTTTTTATGCTTGAACTTGTGTATTTCACTGGTAAGTAGTTTATATTTTTTCAGCAAACAAATCAGGAGGTCCTAAAGAAGTTGATTCTGGATCATTCTGCATATGGGCAGCATCTCTGGTTCTCATAAAAATGAGTAAGCGCCTCCTTACTTATTCCTTGGGAAAGCATTTTCCCCTTAACTAAACAAATCTAAACCTAATATTCTATTTTGTTATGTTTCTTTCAAACTGTACCTTAATTTATCGCTATTGCACACAATAATTTTTATGAAAATCTACTCCATTAAATGATTAAAATATTCATTTTTTTTACTTCAAATACCATTCCATTATATTTGCAGAATTAAAACTGAAGAAGTAAAATGGTGAAACCCAACAAAGAAAACCTCTTCTTGTGTTTCTTGGTCCCACGTGCTCCAATGGTTAATATTGCCCAAATTTAGTTAAGTATATAATGCAATGAAGATGTTTTTTAATATGAGGGATTAAACCCAGAGCCTCATGCATACTAGACAAGTACTCTGTCAATGAGCTATAGCCCAAACACTTTTTAAAATTTTATTTTGTGACATAATCTTGCTCCTTGACCCTTTCTTGGCCTCCTGAGTAGTTGAGATTACAGGCATACACTGCTCAACCTGACACATGAAGATTTTTTTAATAGAAACAAATCATTTATGATATAGAAATGTTGCTGAACTGAGCCCTTTATTTTGTTCACTATTAATGTTGTTATGACTTTATGTAAAATTAAACACAACTTCATAATAGAGGAATAGGTTCTGAAAACTCTGTTGACTATAGAACCCAGAGACCGCTCAAATTGAAAAAGAAATATTAATGTTTTGATTTCTTTTCATAGTATATAAACTTGAAAGTGTTCAGTTCTATTTAATTCATAAGCAGTTGTTCAATGCCTAACTATGGTATGATTACATAAAAGCAGACGACTGCATTAGAAGCTTAAACTCTCATGTTTTTTATACTGCATTAAATGATTATTTAATATTTTTCACATGTATGAAGAAATTAAATTTATAGATGAGAGCTGTTAACTGACAACAAATTTAAAACAAGAACAACAGAAATCCCCTGTAGGTTAAGCTTAATTTTTCAAAAATTTTCCAGGAAGGATTGAGAAAATTATAAACTGTGAGAAGCCAAAATTCATTTGATGAAAATATACCAATTTACTTCATAAGTATAAATTTAATGCAATTTTATTACAACAGCTTGGGCATCGATTATAAAAACAATACTCTCATCTCTTTTATTGTCTAAATCATATAATTCTTCTCTTATGCAGAAAAGAATATGCACTCTTTAGGATGAAACACACTACAGATGTTGAGTAGCGTTGTTACAAAGTGTTCTTTTTGTTTTGCTTTTTTTTTTTTTACCTCTCTGGAGATATATATTTTTTTAGTTTTAATTTTTTGTTAGTACATGTTTGCAAAATATAATGATTATACTCCCCATGGAGAGTTGGTACGTGTAACACATTTTAATTTTTTTTCAATCCCTTCCCCTCCTCCTCCAATTTCTTGGTCCTCTTCCCTTTTGCAAATATCAATCTTCCTATTTGCTATTACCTATCTCTTACTTTGCTCTTTATTTATATTTTGGATTTCTCATATAAGAGAAATAATGCAGTATTTAAGGGTAAATAACAATAAAAAAGAAACCAGGAAAAAGCATAAAATACAAAGTTATTCTCTATAAAGAACACTGAGGAGAGGATTAAGTGTAGTTTCCCCATAGAGTCACAAATTAAATAACTCATGAAATAAGACAGGAATAACAGGCACGGAATCCACTTAGCACTGACAAGCAAAAATCTGTAGGTTTAACTTCTTACTTGTGCATACTCTTTCCTTATAGTTTTGCCACTGCCATGATAAATGTATACAGCTCCCGCGTGATCATCTTCCAGGGGAGCACCTATCACGATGTCATTAAATCCATCAAGATTGAGGTCTTTTACCGCAGCAATAGCTGTTCCAAAACGAGCCCCGCATGGCTCATTTTTGTTTTCTTTTGTGCATGAATTATGCTTCAGAGATGAGCAGCAAGTCTGCTTAATTGGTTCCAGGCTCATTTGATATTCAAACTTTGTCTGGAAGGAAGATAAACATATACTTATGGGATTCTATCACTACTAGAACAGAGTCAATTTTTAAAATACATGATAAATCAGTGCTATTAAAAAATATTGGTGCATCAATAGTAATGTTTGTAAACATTTTTCAAAAGTGAGCCTGAGAACAAAGTAAAGATCCCAAAGAATAGATTGTAGCAGCACCAAGAAAATATATACTGAGAATCTTAGAAGTTAGGTTTTATATTGAAGATTAAAAACATGATGCTAATTAGATATTCAATTATGCTAAAAGAACCCCTCTAAGTCCTCAATTCATGTTATTCTCCTTTATTTACCCAATACTCTGGGTCTTTGATAAGCCTCCCTTATAAGACCAAGAGAAAGTTTAGTTTGCTCAAAAAGCAAACTTTCTCTAAAGTTGCCTACAGTGGGGAGAGGAAGACAGCAATCCAGCAAGGATGAAAGTACTAGAAAGTGTGGAGGGGGACAAACAAGGGACCAGAATAAGACCCAAAAAAAGTTTATAGGAAGAAATAAAATATGATAGGAAAAAAGAGACACAATTGATGAGTTAAAATAATACTGGAGAAAATCTAAGAGTTTAAAAAAAGCTAAATAAATAAACACTGGTCTTGCAGTAAATAGCAACATAACTTCATAATGAAGAAATCAAGATTTCACCTACAAATGATATCTATTGTCAGGAATGGAAAACAGAATTTCACTCCAGCCCAGTAAAGTATTCCAAAGACCATAGTGGTTCCTTGGAAGTATCTGATGTCTTTGCTTTGAAATCACTTCTGTACCAGCCAGCCCATTGTAACTGTTAATATTACCCACTTCCAGGCCAGAGCTCATGAATGGTTCCAGGATGGGTGTTTTAGTGTTGGGGGGGATTTGTCTTCTTTATCCTATATGTTCTGGTATAAACATACTTTACATTTCCAAGTAGAAAATATCTAAGGGCTAGAACTACATTGTTAGAATTCTAAATGTTCCGTTTGAAACTGAGGATTCAGTGGCATGGATGAGCCCTGAACAGTTCTTTGCTTTCTTTTCCAAAATGAGGGAAAAATTAGAACTGCACTATTTAATACTGAATAGACAGAAAAAATTTTTCCTGGATTTCTACCAAATTCAGTTACCATTACCTGATTCAGAGTATACACATATACTTTTCCTTGTTCTTCTTTCTCTGTTCCCATGTACATAGGAGCTCCGACAAGAAGGATGTCAGTGTTAGCATCATTATCAATGTCAGTTGTTGTTAAAACACTGCCAAAGTAGGAGCCAATCTAGGGCACAAGACAAAACAAAACAGCTTGATGAACACCAGATGTTCTGAAGAAAGCTAAAAATCTGCATTTCTCTTATTTTTGCCAATTGAGAAGAGGTTATAAGATTTGGTTGGCAAAGGTAATGAATGTAGAAACTGGAGGTAGCTAAGCAATACAGTAAGGTAAAAATATGAAATAAATACATTAATAGGAGCTGAAAGGTCTTGGAATACTGCAGTGTATTTTACCTTATGATCTTAGATGATTTTTCTACTCACCTACAGCTAAGTCCTGTCCCAGCAGCTATGAGAGATAGAAAAATATGAAAGGTTGCCAAGGGCCATCCCTTGCAGTAGCGTATTTTCTTTTAAAGATAGGATCTGCCTTAGGGAGAAACAGGGAATTTATATTTCATTATTTAAACGCTTATATCTCCTTTTCAAATATTGACCTGTGTTTAAAACTTGATACTCTTAATACTTTTCTTATTGACATTTTCTATGTTAGCATCTATGACTTTATTTTTGCTCTCATAATTTGCTCCTATGTCATAGTATTGTAGATAGGTAATTTAATTAGATATTTTGTAGGCAGTTACAGCCAGCCCTCAAGCAGCCAACATGGAGGACAGCTGAGGCACATTCACTGGTTAGCAGTGTAGAAAAGAAAAGAGGTAATATTTCCCCTAGAGATGAATAGCAGTGGTTGATATTCTAAATGGGGAAATTCCTTGGATGTGACTTGTTTTCCCATTTGATCCCCATTTAATCAATATTACCTGGGTGCTATACTTGTAATCTTATTGGTTGGTCATGGTTTTGTCCCACCTCATGCCCACCTTGTAATTTTCCATTAGGTTTTATAGTTTTGTCCCACCTTGTACCCGCCTCACCTCATGGCTTTGCTGTATAATCTACTTTCTGGTTTCCCTTCTATCTCTCTTAGACAGAAGCTATCTTTCTCTCAATAAATTTTTCCTACTCTTAACCTCCATTGTTCCTAGAATTCTTTTTTTTTTTAATTTTCGAGAACACAAACTCATGTTTTCAATATCTAGCAGATTTGGGAGTTACATCTATTCCCCCTTTATCAATAGAAGACCTCATCTTTTTATTTTGCTGCCTCCTTTCCCTCCTCCCAACCCCTAAGTTTGGCATCCCACGGAGCTCAGACCTGTGGGTTTTCTTCCTATTCTCTTACACCGAACAATCAATGCCTCCCAAGCACTGTCATCCCTGCACATTGCACACTTCATTTTGTCTTCCTACTTAAGGCTCCAGGTCGACATTTCTAGGCATTGCTAGATAATGTGAGATCCATTTGGAATATACTTTTGATGACTTTTGATGGTATTTTCTTACAGATTTCTGAAGAGCTTAAAGTGTTTTTTAAAAGTTGAATTAATTACAAGTATAACAAAAATGTGATAAACTCTGACAACATTGGGCCTTCATTTCCACCTGGCAACGGCCCTCTTGAGCTGAGTGGGACCTTGCAAAGTACCTGGGCCATGGTTTCCTCAACTTCCTAGTGTCTCCTACCTGTCATTTTTTTCTCATTTACTTGACTCACCTGGCATGGGCATCTGAATTGGAGCTTACTCTTAGAGTAAACATACCTAAAGCCCAACACCATTTTTAACCCATTTATGCCAAACCTTGCAATTTTTTGAAATTTTGCATGAAATTCATATATGTTCCCTAGAAAAATTCAAGGAACAAGAATTTGAACAGCATAAAAATTTTATTATGTTCTATTGTTATGGGCATTACGAAACTGGAACACATGTATAAAAGGATTAAAAATACCTCATCATTTGTAATTCTGTCCTCTGCTTGCATATGCAATTTTCCACAAAATTTTACACTTGTTAGAGAATGATAACAGACCTAGGATGTCATCTAAAATGTTTAATTTTACTTTTTTAGTTTTTTTATTTATGTCTATTATATCCCATCCTACTCCATTTTTTTATTGCTGTTATCTTCATTTTAGGTTCTTCTTGCCTCATTCTTAAATCACAATAGCTTTGTTTCTATTGTTGATACATTTGTGAGTATAATGTTTAAATATAAAGTGTTTCACAAAGACTCATATATTATATTGGGGGCTTGATCCCCAAATGCAGCATTGTTCAGAGCTGGGGCCTGGAGTTTATTGGATCATGAGCTAATCTAATCAATGGTTTAATTCATTGATGAATTCAAAGCTGAACGGGCTATTAGGAGATAGAGCCCAGTTAAAGAAAGTAAATCAATGGAGGTGTGCTTTGAAAGGTATACATTATCCCTGATCCCTTCTTGTCTGGCTCTTTCCCTTTTCTCTCTTACTTTTGTTGCCCTGAGGTGAGCAACTGTCTTCCACCATGTCTTTCTTTCCATCATGCCTAAAACAATGGAGCCAGCTGACCATGAACTGAAACCTCTGAAACTATGAGGCAAAAGTATTTTTCTTCTTTAAAGTGTATCTCAGATGTTTTGTCACAGCAATACAAAGCTGAGGAAAAAAGCCTGGTATGTAAGGATCTGGCCTCTGATGTACTCTTATTTTTCTGGTTATCTGTTGAGAATGAAATTCCAATTGTATTGCTGAACAACATTGGTGATGGTGAAAACAAACTCTGGTGGGGATGTTGCATTTTAGACATGAGGAATTGTATGTGAACTCTAAGTACCTGCTGGAGAAGATGTATTTTGGGCTTCTCAGCAGTGAATCTTGTAATGGGCAAGTCCATCACAGAAATGCTAGAAGCTATGTTTATGGTGTTGTCATAAAGGACACTGTCTCCTGTGGGACATGAGGCTCTAGATGGAGCTACTAGGGAGTTCCCAGGCCTGCTTGCTGTGAGTTTCCTGGCACCACGATTGTATCCTGGGCTGAGCTGCACCTAGGACTTCTATTAAGGAGCAAAGTTGAATCAGCCCTTCCTGTGTAGCCTCCTGAGTCAAAATATTTATGAAAGCCCAAAAAGAAATCCCCTTTAAGATTGCAGAATAAAGTGAATACAGTCTCATTTTAGAACACTTGGAAAATATAGAAAACTATGAAAAAGGTCAAAAGTTACCCAAGTTATCACAACTCAAAAGTAACTCAAAATAGCACAGTAAGATGTTTCAGCCTAAAAAATATTATAATTATTGATGTGTACCTACTGTGTTTATTATTTCCTATACTACTTTTAATATTTGTTAACTGAGAAGAATTTCCAATTGCCTCTGGGATATAATCCAAGTCTTTTAGTTTGTCATTCAAAATTTCACACAATTGGGCTCCATGTTATCTCTTTAACTCTATTCCAATTATGTTTCTACCTATCTATATTCTATCCTTCCTTTGAGACTCAGCCCAAGTTTTATCTCTTAAGACTTTCTGTACCAATTTTAGTTTAAAGAAATCATTCTATCTTCTGAATATACTGTCTATGCTGTTCATATTTTTATGCTTTTTAATATTTTAGATCTTTTTTCTTGTACATATTTTGTATACCTGTATCTACACCTATTATCTGTACATCTTTGGTCTACTCCCATGCAATTGAAATATTCATGAGGTCAAGGATGCAGATCCTTTACTTCCTTCTAAAAAACTCAGCAGGGGGCCCTTTTTACAGCAGAAATTTGATGTGTTTATTTTAAAAAGTTTAGGACAATAGATAGTTACATAGAGTGTAACAGATTAATTTAAAGCAATATTTTTCATATTTACCTGTTCTCCTCTGAGTGTCTGGAGAATCTTGATGTCTCCATCTTCCATCCTATAGATAATGACCTGGCCTGTGTGATTGTATCGAGGCTGTCCCGCAACATAGAGCACATCCCCAGAAGCAGTGGCAGAGTTTACTGTGTAACCTGAAGGAAGTGAGACTCTAGATATACATTTGCCCTCTTGAAGTCTGAATATAATATATCATGAATCACTTTAAATGGACGGGAGAACCATTTTTCTCTATTTTACATAGACTTCTCTTTTAAAAAAATAATTTTTAAATGCATGTAAGAATTTGTTTAGGCTAGAATCTTCTAATATGTCCTACCACAGCTACTTTATTCTGAAAAAATATTCTCCCAAACCCATAGCTTTTCATTGTTTAAAGCCCCAAATAACATAACAGTGATGACATGAAAAGAAAGGTACCCCACAGAAAAAGGACAGCCCTCAATCACCATTTTGAAGTTAATCAATTATATTGCATATGGACGCAAGTGCCTGTGCTATACACATTAATAATCATATAGTTGGGATTATAGATAACGTAAATGTTTTCTGAATTGCTACCTAGATTTTTAGTTGTGATTTTAAATGGTTGAAGATTATTTCTCTGAACTAGAGTATAAAGGTGTGTTTACTACCTTGGCCATTCCTTGATGGAATACTGGAATCTAGGTGGTTTTTAAGTTTTTAGTATTATACTTAAGTTTACAAAGACATCTTTGAATGTTTAATATATTTTCTTCTTTTGGATTTTTTGAACAAAAATTTTCAAAGAATAGATTACTGGATCAAATTTTTAATGGTTCTTATAGCATCTGGAAAGTTGCTAGCTTACTCTATCCTCAAGTGTGTGAGAGACTTGTTTCATTACACCTTGTTAGGCATTGTGCATTACTACTTTTATTTAAATTTGAGGATGTTTAATCTTCAACTTCATCTAACAACAGTGCCTTGTGTGACTTTAAAGTGTTTGATTAATGCTGATATTTAACATTTTCTCATATATCTGATTATTTCTCCTTGTTTTCATGTTCTTTATAATTTTTAATATTCTTTTTTATGGTTTTACTTTAATCTGCATGTATTTTGTGTCGAGCTATCTCCTGAGCCACAAGATATATTTTTCTTCTGTGCAATCTCCTCTTCTGGTGTAGGAATAGGAACAGTTCTGTTCCAGTCAGAATCATGTCAGTGTGGCAGGGGAGCTCACGGACTGGTTATCTGACCATGTGTTCTCCAAGTATGGCTGGCATCTTGGATGCTTTGTTCACCTGGATGTGCTCAGTGACCAGATAATATATACATATATGCTCATGTTCATCATTACCCTCTGTATTTTTAAGCACGTGCAGCAACACTTCAGAACTCTCGGGCATTCACCCTCTATCCAAGGCCCACACACCTACCAACTTCATCATTGCAAAAATAGAATGACACACATTGCTTCTGTAAAGTTACCTTTTAGATACTTGGTGGTTTTACAGATAGGCATACCATTGATGGCCTGGGAAGTTTCACAATGTCTCCCAAGTTAAGTGAAGTTTTGCACATCTTGATTTGCATGACTTTGTAGGATTTTCTGGGTGAAATGAATAGTGCACCATTTTTAGAGATGGCTCAGGCCAATAATGGGAACCCGAGTTGTGTCTTTCTGTCATATTATTATTTTTTGAATGAAGAATTAGATTTATTCTTTGTGTCTTTGGAGAATAGAGCTAAATCCATGGGTAAAATTTACTACATGTAAATTTCAACTCTCCGGGAAGAAATGTTCTAATGATCAGGGCTGTTCATAGAGGGAGCAAAAGGCACTCTATTCTTCAAAATGTCACCACATAGTCTTTTGAATTCAGAGAAACACCACATTGCCAATTTATTTGGCAAGTATTTTACTATCAGCCAATAGTTTAGTTTTCTTTGAAATTTTTAAAAGAACACAGGATTTTGTACAACAATGTGTTCATTCTGACAAGTGCTAAGGAAAACAATTCCTCAGGCATATTATGCTTTGTAAAAATCTTTCCTACATTCTCAATTTTCATTATTCTTAAGGGTTTTTATACTCTTAGACATTATAAAATATTCTTTTCAATCATATATTTTTATATTGCTAACCACAATATTGTTTAAGAAATAAAAACTTAAGAGTTATGTCTATGCATATGTAAAAAGGAAAAGAATGTACAAAGCAAAGGCTGTATTATTTCATGCCACTCTGCTAAGAAATATAAAGGATAGAGTGGAACTAATGGGGAAAGGTTAATACATGTTGATTTTTATTGCTTTCTGTAATTTTCAGAGCTGTGAATCAAATGAGTGAATGACCCTTTTAAAAGTAAGTTGAAAATTGTATTTGAGGCTTGGACAGTTTGTCATATGTTTGATCATTTCTCATTTTAATATTTTCATTCACATATGTGATTATTTGACTTTCATAATTTGCATTTGGTAACTATAAATATTTGTTGATATATCACAGCAATAGTAACTGTCAGATACCAGTAGTTTCTTATTACAGCTCAGGAGTTAAAGATAATAAAGAGGGAAAGAAAAAGAGGGCCAAGTAAAGGCTTATTTTAATGAAAGGCAAATCATAAAGAACATTCAAGCTTAATATTGCCTCCTGAAAAGGAAAAGCACAAGATGGAAGAGAAAAAATTGGATGTTATAGCTCTGAGCATGGATTTATGAAGAGTAAGCTCTGTTAGCTCTCATAATTCCCTTCTTGGAAGAAGTGTGGGATGGTGAAGTAATGGGAAATAGTTATAAGCTCTGTTGAATCCATGCCTTTGCCTTGCTTCTTTCCTTTTCCTTTGGAATCTGCCTGTCACAATTAGAAATGAACAAACTGTGGAGGAGGTAGGGAGCACAATCTCTAGTGTGTTCTCACCACTGAACCCATCTGCTAAGTGCACACTGAGGCAGTTTACTGGGCAAAGGAACATGAGTGCATGACTCATGTTCAACAGCTTCTGTTCCTACTTCATTCTGCCTATTATGGATTAGTACATGACTTTTTTTTTTTAAAGCATCCACCTTCTACTCTGCTTCTTTCATAAGATTTTTCATAAGATCACATCAAATTGAGATCTCACAATTTGAAATTCACACAGATTTTGGAGTGACACATTCAATCTCTCCTTAATTTGTTACTTTCATAAGGAAACATTTTGAAAGCCTCATTTTAGATTTAGAATAATATTTGGAAACAAAATAAAACAAGTCTCTACTCTCTGTCCCCTGCATTTTCTGGGTGCTTTTCTATTTTGAAAGAAATCTTACATAAGTTAGACTTTATGTTGGCAAAATGTCTTGTATGCTAACTTTTGAATAAGCCAATGAAATGATCTCTGAATCAAAAAATTTATCTCAGCACACTGTAGTGTACATATACAAAAATTTCCTTTTGTGGGCATAAAGGACTCATAGTACATAAACATTTTTTGAAACAGTACCTTTTTCCGTTTTTATTTAGGTGTAATTGACAAAACAAGTCATATATTGTAAGTGCTGTGGTCAGGAATGAAGCCCGTTTTAATGTTTTCCCACTTGACTGACATGTTTACATCTTAAATTCTCTAAGTCTGCTTTAGCCAACCATAACTAGGGGAACAACAGATTCAGGATTCTAAGATTTATTTGTTTTAAAGGAATGTAATCACATAATCATTATTCAAAATACCAAAAAATACTGCAGTGTTTTATTAATAATTAAAATATGTGAATTTCCTGAGTAATGACCATGTCACACACATTTGTGGACTCCATACTATGTCTTTAATTTTATAAGTACTCAATACTTAGTTTAAATAGTATTAATGTCACCTACTCTTATTACATATATCTGTATTAGCTTTCTATTGCTGCCATAACAAATTACCACCAACTTGGTAGCTTATGACAATGTAAGTGTATTATCTTACAATTCTGTAAATTGGAAGTCTAGCATAATTATCCCTGGGCTAAAATCAAAGCAAGCAGAGCTATGCTCTTTTCTGGAGACTATAGGGGAGAATCCACTTCCTTCCCCTTGTAGCTTCTAGAGACAATCCATGGCTTGAGGTCCCTCCCTCCATATTCAAATCCAACAACATTGCATCTGTCTGACCATTGTTATGTAGTTCTTTCTCCCTCTGACTATATCCAAGAGAAGTTCTCTGATTTTTAAGGACACTTGATTACACTGGACCATGTCACAGGTTCCAGGATAAATTTCCCATCTAAAAATCTTTAACTTAATTACATTTACCAAGTCTCTTTTGCCACATAAGGTAACATATTCATGGGGCCAACGATTAAGACATGGACATCTTTGGGGTCATCATTTTACTTAGCATGATAGTAAAATAAGAGGGATATTCATTATGTGACACTACATAACAAAATCATAAACAAGATCTACAGTGCTAACTATTTCCTGGGCACAGTACTAAGTAAGCATTTTCTAGTCATTATTTAATTTAATCTTTATAACTAGCCAAATTATATATGCAGTATAATTTTAGCCATTTTAGAAATAATTAATTTCAGGCTTTGCAGAGTAATTTGTTTGAAGTCACAGGAACAGAGTCTGAAAACAAACACAAGTCTCTATAACTTAGAGACATCCTTAACTGTACAGTCAGCACCATAATTGCTTTAAGTTCTTAGTATTACAGCATTAGCAGCTTTGGAATTTTTATTATGATGCATGTATAATGTTCCACTAAGTGAATTTACCATTTACTTGACTATCTTATAATTTTATACACTTAAGATACTTCCACTTCCTCCAATATCATAAATAATTATTTGCTTTTCATTCTAAAATACTGGATTTACTTCTTAGGTTAGATCTTCAGACAAGAAATTTCTGGGTCAGTGTGGTATTAATACTAGACTTGCTTCTTAGGTTGAACATGCAAAAGTGAAATTTTCAGGTCAGTGTGGTGTAATCTCTTTCAAGACTTGGTAAATATATGGTCACATGCCTTTCTTAACGAGTTATACCACTTTACAGGCCATCCATTATATGTATAGGTAAATTTTCTGTAATTGTTTTATTTAGAAAAGAGGCCTTCCGTTAACTGATTAAAAATATTTCACATAAAACTGTCTCATAGAATCTTAGGATATGAAGAACTTCTAGAAGATATGTAACTCAACCTTCTGGCCTCTGTGCCAGTTTTCTGTGACACAGTAATAAAATACTAATAACGAACGCTGATTTCTTCATTCTCAGCAAAAAAAGATATCTTATTCATCTTGCTATTCTCAACTTACAGTTCAATGTTTGGCACATTACCAATACTTAACATTTATGTGGCATTTTCTTAAGCCAGAAACAGGTATTTTGTATGGTGAAATGAACACTAGAATAATTATCAAGCAATAGATTGTAGATTGTTGCTTCAAATATGTCATAGGTGATTGTGATATAATTGTTCCATCCATTGTTTCTTAATTTGGAAATGTTTGAGTATATATTATGATCTCTCTTAATGATAAAATTTGATGGGAATTTTAAGCCCAACCCTTAAATTTTACACCACAATCTTCCAAATAGTTCAGAGACATGCAGTGTATACTTTGTTTTCTACTTTCCAATTTCTTCATGTTTTAAGAGAGAGATAGGCTTGTAGCAGAGATATGTTTTGAGATCTGTATTCCCTAAATAATCTTTTATTGGCACACCTTAGTTTGTCATTTTGTCTTTGGGACAGGTGATACTTAAAACAATGTAATATTCTAGCTGTTACTGACTAGGGCAGAATATAATAAGAATTTCATTAATTCAGTTCCACCGGTCTCAAGAAATTTTAGCAGTCATATTGTCTTTGCTGCTTATCATTATGATATATTATTAGTCATCTAAAACCTAAGGCTTTTTATTCTTCTTAAGACACACTGTCTCTACAATTTTAATAGATATTCTTGAATAAGGACACAGAGGAAAGTACCAGTAAAGACCTGCCACTTTCTTCATAACATAGAAAGAAACTGGCTTGTAGAGAGAACAACATTGATCCCCAGGACACAAAGATCCCATAGAGAAATCGTAACTTGCTAAAAATGTGACCACTTCAAGGCCAAAGTACTTGTTTTCTTTACTACTGCATCTCTAGCACTAAGAACAATGCTTGGATCAAAAAAGGAGCTCAAAAAAAATATTTGTTGACTCAGAGTTGGGAAACCATGTGTTGAGCGTGCTTTCTATTTAGACTCTCCCAACTGTTCATGGAGATCTTTTTCCAGTGACAAAGAAGGGTCCCCCAGGCAGCTTCCAGACTGGTACAGATCCCGAAAGGGGTACCAGACGTACACCTTCGTCGTTTTTGTTTTTTTTTGTACTGGGAATTGAACTCAGGACCTTGCACTTGCGAGGCAGGCAGTGGCACCACTGAGCTAAATCCCCAGTCCAACATGCACCTTCTTGTTCCTGTTAAGTCTTTGACTGATTGTAAATAGTACTATTTTTAAAAAGTTCTGAAATGATTTTGTTTTTCAAAATCAGGAGCCATAGAAAGAAACTAATGATAGCCGGGGATCTGGCTCAGTGGTTCTGTTGCCTGCTCTGCAAGTGCAAGGACCCAAGTTCAATCCCCGGTACCAAAAAAAAAAAAAAAAAGAAACTAATGATAGAAGTTATTTAAGACAATATGAGACTCTAGTCTTTAGGATATTAGCAAAGCTGAAGTTTCTTTTTTCTGCCTTTATTATCTTTCCACCAGGTCAGCTCTTCTTGAATTTAAAGACAGTATCAGATACAGGGAGACCTCATAAAGTACATGTATTCTACTATTCCTTGCATTAGACACCACTATTAAGAAAGAATGACCTCCAGGTTCTGTGACTTTGACTCACTAAGACTGTTTGGCAGTCTGAAACGTTTCATAGGTCCCTAAACTGCCTAACTCTTCAAAGTGATCTTACTACATGGTTTAAACCTATAGAAATATAAGCAAATAATACCCCAAAATAGAAAAATAAACTTTTATAATGAATAAAGACCATACCTAAATAAGAAGCAAGAGGTTCATTCATTTTGGTAGACTCAACTTGAAAGGTTGTGTTTTGAGGGATTATGATTTGATTAGCCTTCTGCATGACAACTGTTCCATTCCAGTCATAGGCACCTACTGCCCCAAGCATGACCCAGTCCTTAGACGCAAATAAAGAACACAATAATATTCAATAAAAATGGTAAGAGGAAACAATTAGACAGCATTAAAGTGATAGGTACCATTCAAAGTGCTTTACATATATTAACCCATTTAATCTTCACAATAACTCTATATATTAGACGCCATTATTACTCTCCCTACTTTACAGAAGAGGAAACTGAGGCACCGCAAGTAATTTGTCCAAGATTAAAAGTACAATTTTACATTGAAATATCAATTTTCCTTTAGAAACACCATAATGCCTTTTCTACTACCAACCACAAATAACACATCATAAAATGATCTTCTTGCTTTATTTTTTTTTTATTCATTAAGGTTACTGATACATTTTAGGTATACAATATGATGACATTCATCATTGGGAATTTGTACCTTTACATGATATATCTTTGTTCTTATTTTTTCCCCATTTCCCTGACCTCCCTTCAACCCGTCCACCCCTCCCTATTTACAAAGACTTTCCATTTTTTTCTTTTTCTCATATTTATTCCTTTCCCTTCTTTCCTTTCCTGTTCCCCCCTCCCCTTCTTTATTCTTAAAAAATCTTTCAACTAAGATTCATAAGGAATTCTAGCAAGACCCTTGATACCTTGACACTGAGAAAACGATGCATTCCATATCTTTAGCAAAAAAATTAAGTATTCTATAAGTCAGAGCTCAAACTGTCTGATTCACAAGTATTAGTAAAATATAATGAGTTGTGTGAGATATAATAAGGAGTGCCTTTCTCCTTTTTGAATTAAAAAAACATTGTCATGACCTTCATAACTGCTAATGCCATGAGCTGCTATACACTGTAATACAAATATCTGGGTGTTGTTTTGGGAGGAGGAAATCCTACCGAAATATATTTCATTTCCTACTAAGTGATCAACATACCTGTGAATAATGAGCACTGAAGCCAGTCTGAGACATTTCCATTTCAAATGAAGCTGCTGACTGGTCGGTTGTAGCTATAATAGGAAAATATCACCATGAGTAACTAACAATGATTTCAAGTGCACTGATGACTTGCAGGACACAGAGACCTGGTAGAGCCTGGAGTCTTTCCAACCAGAAGTCTTAACATCTCAGGATACTTTCAGTCATGCATTTCTTAACCCAAAATTCCCAAGTAGGGCTAAGGAGAAGACAGAGAAAGTTCGCAAAAGGTCTTCTGTCTCAGAATCTAATCATTAGCTTCCTCAGCTTTGCTGGAGGAGAGGAGACTCTCTATCCTCACAATGCAACATGCTGTGGCTCCTGTGATGCTTTGGGTCCATGTGTTAAAGATGAATTATTATAGTAGGAAACCTCTGCTTCATCTTGTGACTTGAGAACCTTGCCTATGCTAAACTTACTTGATATCTTACAGGGCTGAAAAAATTTCATTTACTTATTAAAATAGATTTAAATAGCTCCATCAGTTCCATCCATATTTTAGGCCATGGATTCTCCTAAAATTCCATTGTTTGATAAAGGCTTAAGGAATCCCGTTTGCATTTTGCTCTAACTTCTGGCTGTGGGTATCACTAATAGATAAGGGGGGGACTTTTTGACAAGGCTCCAGGCCACATGCTATCTGAACACATATTTTTCAAAGATTCTGTGCCATTCTGAAGTTCTGTACTGAAATGTAAAGACAATCCAGAGCATTCTATGGAAGTACATTACTCTCAAATTTTTCTCTAAGTGTTCATGAGCTTAAGCCACAACTTCCTGAGGGAAATGAGAGAATGCTGAGTTACTTGCTTCCAGGGGAGTTACTGATTTATTTGGCCTTGAAGATTAGTTAAAAATATCACATAATTTTTGAGAAGTCAGCCTGCCTTTCCAAAAGGGGCAGAAAAAAAATAAAAATTTTGGAATTAAACATATTTACTATTTACTTACTGGCATAAAAATATAAACAAATACATCAGTGATTGCCTTTTCACAGGACTAGACTAAGTAGGGCAATCAATCAAGAATTCAAATATATCATTGTAATGTCTTGTGTGAATTGTCCTCTAGAGGATTGGGACACAATTTTATTTGAAATCGTGTTTTACATACACATTGCTTTGCAAGACCAAAAGGCAAGAATGCAGGAGCAGAACTATGCTGCTGTCTTCCTTTCAGGTGGGAACAGACAGAAGGAAGCTATATGACATTTGCCTGCTCCACTGACATCCATGGTAAGAGCCCACTGCATGTCTCTGAGTTCGTGACTTTAAGCCCTTCCTTGCACTGTTCATGGGGCTGAGCCAACTACTCTAATCCCTGTGCAGCCTCTAACGAGGGACTTCAGCATTTCTTCCAGGACTTAACAGGAAAGGGAGATCTTAGACCATTTCCTGGTTTTATTTGACCAGGCTTTGGTTTGTCTGCCTTGCCAGGTGGCACTGTCCTTGGCAAGCCGACTTTTATAATTGCAACTATTTACCATCTAAAGATAAATGTTGACAGGAAATGCAGATTTCCCAAGTAACAAGGAAAAGGCCTATTTAGAAAAGCTTATTATGAAAGAAAAAGAATCATCTAGTCAACACAGCTTTCGGTTAGCTTTGATAGTGCAGCAAAAGACATGGAAGATATTTTTAATTGGTGAAGTGTCTTAAAAAATAATTTTGTTTTTAAATATAAAAACTTTTTGAAGTGCTTGGGCACTCCAATATGGAGCTTTCAACCTCTGGTGTTTTTAGGTTAGAAAGAATTTGAAAATCTTATTTCCAGCAAACTGACCCCCACCCCCACATGATGTGGGCTCATTTCTGCCAGTCTGGGGTTATATTTATTTGCTAAGAAATGATACTCATTATGTTTAACTATCTCAAGTAACAGAATAATTTTTCTTTTAAATTATCTTTACAGATTATTTCTTGGCTTATGTTATTAAAAGTATGAAATAACTTGGAAGAATTTTTTTTAAAGGCCAAGAAAGCCTATTGGCAAATGACAGCAGAATGGCTGCTGAAAGACTAAAATCATGTTAGAATAACTTGAACACAGAATGCAAAAGAGCTGAGCTCTTTAAAAGTAGCTGCAACTTCAGTTTGCTACAGAATTCTAGTTTTCTGTTTCCAAAGGCACAGAGGAAAAGGACCCAGGGGCAAAGGGGAGCAGAGAAATTCAGTTTGGCTGGGCTGTCAATCCCTGTAATCTGTAAACCAAACTTTCTAAGTACTGATTGTGACCTAGATATAAAATCAGCAGAATGAGCACAGCCAATATTTTTTCACTGAATGTGAATAGAATAAAAAGAAAGATAAAAACCATCACAGTACATTGCATATAAGAGTTAGTTTTAGGGCCGGGGATTTAGCTCAGTGGTATCATGCCTGGCTGGCAAGTGCAAGGTCCTGAGTTCGACCCCCGGTACCGAAAAAAAATAGAGTTAGTTTTATTCTTAAGAGTTATTGTTGTGTGAGCATTGGGTTGCAGAGCAAAATATACCTATTATCTTGGCTCACTCAAAAAGTCTGAATGCCATTATTTTAAATCATTTTCTTTATATACATTTTTATATTCTGTCAGTAACTTTTTCTGCACTTTTTTTTTTTGGTACTGGGGATCGAACTCGAGTCCTTGTGCTTGCGCAGTAGGCCGCGAAACCACTGAGCTAAATCCCTGGCCCTTTCTGCACTTTTTTAGCCCCTTGATGCTCAACCAAAATGGTCCACCTTTTTTTTTTTTTTCCAGTTCTGTCTCATTCTCATTTTATCTTTATTTGCTATTTTCAGGGTGTGTCAAGGAGACTGAGTGAGGCCTTCTACATTTCTATTTCTAGCATGTCCTCACTGAAAGAGTCACTGGATGTGGATGCAGCGTAAGGGCAAAAGCATTCTCCATGGTTTTTCCTCCTAATGGAAATAGGCGCACTCCCTGAGACTCCAAATCTTCAGAGAACATGAAGAAGGAGGCTTCAGAGAAAATGATGATTTGCCTGACATGAGAATTCTGAGGCCTTTTTGTCAGGTAATATCTAGGTCCAGAGTAATTTGTTAACCTGACATCCCCTACCTAAGGCAGAGGAGAGAACAGCATGATGCAATATCTTCAACAGCCAGTCACCCGTGGGGGAAAAAAATCTATAAAGCTACAAGATTTAGACATAGAGAAGGCAAGTTTCAATGGCACAGGGCTTGAGACAGAGCTCCATGAAGGCCTTTAAATTGTGCAGAGTAAAACACAGAGAAAATGGATGAACAAAGAAATTATTCCTTCAGGCCACTCTCATAGTAGCCCTAAAACACGAAAAAGAAAAAAATGGAAAGAAAATTTTCAGCCTGTAGCCCCATATTCCAGAAAAGGAATAAAGAAGAGTACTGTACATGGAAATATTTTTGTTCTTGCATGTCCACACTGACTGCTGTGTTCATGGGCTCTCTCATTAGCACTGCCATGTCCTTACAAAGGTACCATTCTGTGTGAAATGGTCAGCTCAGTGACAGATTTATATAAAAGGGAATTGTGCCATGCTGCCTATTGTACACAGTAAAAAATATATTAGTGATTTGCTAGAAATAAATACCAAAAAACCATTACAATGAGTTTGAATTGCAGATAGGACATCCAGGGTTAGAAGAAATATTCCATACCTTCCAGGGCAAATATTCTTTCTCCCAGAGATTTAACAATAGTGACCAGGGCCAATTCATCAGAGACATTGAAGAAATGGTTTTCAGTGGGTTTACTTGCAATCGATTTTATTTCCTCTACAAATTTTTCTGTGCTTAAATTTCCTCTGTTATAACTGCCAAGAATCTAAGACACAACAAAAACAGCAAGAACAAAGTTTAACTTCTATGTGTTAAATAAGAATGTCAAATGTATTGGAAGTAAACCAGAGTGTGGAGAGTACCTTAGCATAATGCAATTTTTATGAATTGCCATATTTGTGTAAGAGTGATTTACAGAACCCTAAATTAATATTCAACAAACACAGCCATTGGTATAGAAAAATGTAAAGGGAAATCTTGTACATTTTTTTCTCCTGTAGTTCAGTGTCCCTGTTTATTAACAACTCTATCTTTGAAACCTGACAGTTCAAAAGTAACGTTATAGTTTCTAAATGTCTTTGATGTTATTCCAGCGAGTGACATCACCATCTGGTTGGTAGAAGCACTCAGCAAGTAAGTTGTCTGATCATGAATGGGTAGCTCTTCCTGAAAAATCTTACCAAGACACCGTCTAGCATACATGTATATACATGTATTGTATATATATGAATACATATTCAGACATATATTGGACTAAGTCATAAACTTAATTGGTAATCTAAACAATAAGTAATTAAGGCATTACTTTTTTAAACCAAATGATGAAGACAGAAGCATTGTTTTTTATAGAGAGGAAGAAGAGGCAGGAATTACCTGTTATAGTTAATAAGAATTATTTAGATATCCAAGCAGGGTTTGTAGGAAGGTCTAAACCAGGAGTTTACAAATTGCAACTAGAGAAGAAAAATTTAACTCCTGTCTAAGTGTGGAAATCTGAGTGCTAAGGATCACAATTGGTTAACATTTGAACAGGGACCTTGGGCACTTTCTCTCAGTTTAGCTATGTGATGGGGGAAGAAAATTAGAAAAAAAGTAGTAGAGAATTTGTACATTCTGCTAGAGGTAGGGAAGGGAAATTCAATGGCCATTGATCATACATTGAACAAATCCTCTCTTCTTTAAAAACAATACCCAAGATACCCTTCCTAGAATTGGCCATGTCACCACATCTGGGAGGTACATGACCAGTGTAAGCAGAGAAAGGCAGGAGAGAAGGAGTCTCCAAGCTCCAGAGAAAGCATTATATCCATGGTATTCCTCTCTGAACATACTACTGGACTCCTTGGTTTGTCAATAATTTTGTTTCCTGTGGGTTTATTTCAATCCATACAAATTCTGAATAATGTGACTCTGTGTCTCCTCTGACTTATTCTATAGATTATGTGACATCCCAGTCTGAAAAATCATTCTTGGTTCCTATTTAGCATATTCTAGATTAACTATTGGATGGACATCATCCATAAATTGGTACAGTTGAAAATGCACATTAAACAAATCTAACAACTTTTGGACATGCATGACTGAGTTGGTTCATTGTGGTGTGAATGTTATCATTTAGTGGTATCTGTGACAGGATAGAGGCAAGTAGATAAAGTTTATTAGAAAAACTGACCAAATGACATGCTTAAAGAACAAAAATAAAGTGTGTGACTATAATAATATGGGAGTATATATTTACAGGAAAATAGAAGAAAAAATTCCAGGAGTTACTGTGACTTGTGTACAATTTTGAACTATTTTATATCACAGAGGAAAATTTAAAAAGAAATATATTTTGATCCTTCACCCATGGCTCTAGTAGCTTATAAAAACATTTTCCATAAACAAGAAGAGATTGAAAAAAATCAACACTTTTAACTTACTCCCATTTCGCTCCATTCAAATATCTCAGGCTAAAGTATTTAGAATTCTGCTAATGTTTACCTGAAATTAACATTCAGAATTGAAATTTCCATGAGGCAACTGTGGTAAATGCAAAGTATACAATTTACATATAACAGATCTTCTTTTGCTTGAAAAATAAATAAAATTCTAAGATCCTTTCTGATGTCTGACTTTCATTGGAACATTGTAGGTGATACAAACCTCGCAGCCATTATCTTCTAAGATTAGAATCTGAACACAAAACGTACCCCTGATTAAAATATCTAATATCCTCAAGTGACAGAAATAGAGATCATGGAGAAGAAGACTCAAAACCAAGTCAGGACTCTCATCATATCTGAAAATTTAACAGAAACTGCAGCATTAGCATAGGGAACTTAGTTTATCAATAATCTTTTTTTGGCAGCTGTTTCTAACCAACACATCTCCATGTTGTTTAGGGTCAAATGGTGGTGGTGGTGGTGGTGTGTGTGTTTGTGTGTGTGTGCGTGTGTGTGTGTGTGTGGCAGGGGAGATGGAATAGAAGGAACAGCCAAGGAATAAATGAAGAATTTCTGGTTTATTGGATTGTCTGTAGAATGAAGGGATATTGGCACATCATAAATCCCAGAGCAGACTGTAAGTATGAGTATATCACTGTTAATTTTTCACAGATTATTATAGAAGTTATGTTTTGGTTCCAGACTCTCAAATTTTAGGAAAAACAATTAATTAACAAGGAATGGATTTACTACCTAGTATATCTTTAGTGGCCCACTTTTTAGCCTTCCTTTCTTCCTTCTCTCCTTCTCTCCTCTCTTTTCCTCCCTCCTTTGTCCCTTTCTTTCTCTTCTCCATCTTCCCTTTATACCTCACTCTTTCCAGTCCAGTCATCTTTCCTGTCCATTAATTTTTCTTCTTTCCTTCTCTACATCTATTTTTCACTTTCATCCTCTTTCCCCTTTATCTTTCTTCCTTTTTATTTCTCTTTTTACTGTTTCTTTTTTTAAAAAATATTTTTTCCTTCCTTTCTTTCATGATTATGTGTTGAATATTTGACCTGGCACTGTGCTGGGTGCTGATGACACAGAAGGGAGTAAAACCCAACCCTTATCCATATAGTTTACTTTCAAATGGAGAAGTTTCTTTCTTAAAATTTTTGTGATATGCACACAGCCCCTATTTTCACACAAGAGCTTGAAAATCATCCCTAGCAATGTACTTACAGCTATGGCAAATCGCTGAATGTTTTCATCTTCACAGTCCTGGATGACCTTATTCAGTTTATAATTGTCATGTGACTCTCCATCAGTCACAACAACCATGACTTTTTTTACTCCCCTCCGGGCACCTCGGGCTTCAGTGAATGCCTCCTTCCTAAAGTGAGCACAGACAGAAGGGTGCTGGTAAAACATCACCTCAACATTGAGCCAAGTGAAAAACTAAATTAACATTAGCAACTCTAGGTGGCCTGGTGCTTCTCTCCAAGATCAACATGGATACCCATTGTGCAAGTCAAGATCATCCTCACTGGTAATTGTTTCAGATGTATTCCAGGTGATGGGGAAGTCACCACATATGCCATACACAAAAGACAGCAGTATTTTCTTCTTTGGAAACAAAACAGTGAGACTGACTATGGCATGCATGAGGCTCAGAAGTCAGCTCTGTAAAGAGCCTTCTGGATGCTCCTTTCTCTAGAAACACTCCTTCTCTCCCTCAACAGGCCTGTTTTCTTCTACTTCTGGCTTACGTGTTTGCTTGAAATCTCACTCTACTTGTACCTGCTCTGATATTCATAGGACAGTTTGGAAATCCTTTGCTCTAAGAAGGTGAGATGAGACAGTTGAATATTTGTGGGGCTGTGAATGCTTAAGAGTGTTTTGGGTATGAGGAGAAATAAGAAATAGCTATAAAAGACTACAGAGAGCATGGTCTGAGTCTGTGGAGTAGATCACGGTATATAGGAGGATTTAGGTCTGAAACAGTGTCTTAGTCACTTTCTTGTCTCTGAGACATAATACCAACACCCACAACTTAAAGAAGAGAGGTTTATTTTGACTTAGAGCTTCAGTCCATGCCTCCAAGACAGAAACAGGATGGGAAAGGGGCTTGGTGGGGGAAAAGGTGCTCACTGTCCAGGAAGCAGACAGAGAGTGGAGGAGCCAGGGATAAGAATGTACCCTTCCAGGTCACACCCCCAGTGACCACCTCCAATCAGGTCCCACCTCGTAACAGCAAGTCAGCTACAGCATCTCCATGATCCAATGACCTTCCACACACATGAGAATTTGGGGAGGAGCATTTTAGATCTAAATCATAACAACTAGGTTTTAGAACACAGACTGTTGAAAGTGGAGTGGGATGAGGTATGGAGAGAAAGGAAAATGCTATAGCCTAACTGCAAAGAAAAAAATTTGAATTTAATTCAATAAGTGTATATGGAAGGAGAGAGATGACAGGGGCATGGATAATTTTTATTTGTTTCATGTATCTTATACACACACATACCTCCTGTTACTTCCTGTACTCAACTCAATTTTCACTCTGGAGTCTTGGAATTAAAGATTACATGTTAATTAGGACTAAGACAATGAAAGAATTTTATATACATATATACGTATTTTAGATTTTTAGATTTTGGTATAAAGGGCAGCAACCATTACAGTGACTATTCTTTAAATATTATAGTTTAGTTGAACAATTATAGTTAGGGATATGCCAAAGAAACACCTCTCCTAAACTAACACTCCAAATGATTTGTACAATTTCTGTGGGTTGTACCACTGATACCCAGCAAAGCCACAACAATATTTTGGAGCAGAGGGCAAGGATCTTGGTGATGTGAGCAAAGGGATTTTATCTGTGATTATTTTTTGCCTTTAAGGGGACTTAAAGCAAATGTGACAAAATACTGACAACTGTTAATTCTGTGGAATGGATACACAGAATTTTGTACTAGTTTTTAAATTTTTAAACTTTATGTAACCTGGATGGAAATCTATTGGTTGCTTCTGAAGTAGAGAATGGTTTTCCGGGACTAAGTCCTTAACATATAGGATGTCTGCATTAACTCTGGTTAGTCTCAGAAGTAAACTGAATTTTAGGACACCACTTGGTGTCAGAAGATTAATCATACTGGGGAATAACCCCTACAACTGATGTCAGCAATGAAGTACTGAGTGTTGAGAGTAAAGAAAGAGTTTTTCCTACTATTCACCTGCCTTCAGCAAGACTCATGTTGAGTCAGGCTAGAAAGAATGTCCCTAGCTTTCATTTTTCCTCGTGGTAATTTTTCATTCACTGACTCCCTAACCTGATCCACAGCTATAAATCTCCACTTGTCCTTGTTGTATTCAAAATTGAGCCCAGTCTCTTTCCCCTATTGCAAAACCCCACTGTAGTAGTCTTCTCTCCAAGGAGGTCTTCCTTATCATCTTTAACAAGTGTGTGAATAGTTTTTAATTAACATACTATATAAAGAGATTTTCTGACTTTTTAAAATACACGAACTAAGGTGAAAGCTCATGTTAAAGGCTAGGCTTTAAAAGAAGTTTTGGGTATGAATATCGTCTGAGACTTGATCCTTTTTGCAATTCTAATTCCTTAGAGGATTACCAAAACTTTCTAATTTTCTTAAAGATCAAGGTCATAACTGAACTAAATGAACATCAGCTGGGGCAGATGATTAAAAGAGCTTCCTTAAAGAAGATCTGGGTCCTTTGAAACCAGAGCTGGCTTTGTATACTGGAAGAGTAACCACTGGCAGAATTCCTGAGTACAACCATTCTGTTTCAAGCATATTCCTTAACAAATTGTCCTTGTCACCAAAACACTACTATATAATCCTCTTTCTTGGATTTAAGTATTGTCCTCCTTGTGTGGCTTTAAAAAGTAAAATACGCTGGGCTGGAGATTTAGCTCAGTGGTTCTGCTGCCTGCTTCGCAAGTGCAAGATCCTGAGTTCAATCCCTGGTACAAACAAACAAACAAACAAAAAAATGAAAATACCCAGGAAGGTCCCTTTCTTTCACATAGCAGAATCCATGCATATGATCAAATATTGTAAGTCTATTGGCGAGAATGAAAATTTGGGATTTGAGATTTGGGTTAGGGAGAAGGTAACACAAAATATATATTCAGCTGGGAAGTATGCAAAGTGGGAGTAATGGATTTTAAGAAATTGAAACTGTTGTTTGAGACTGTTCTTGACTGAAAGGAATGAAAAACAATGAAAAATGTGTTTAAATATGAAAAACTAATGTATGAGAAAAACAATTAGTACTGAAATATCACTATAGATTTTTTTGTGTGCATTCAAAACTCAGTAAACTGTGTAGTACAGCTAGACATTTTGTGAAACACATAGGCAAAAACCATATGGGAATGGGATAGGGTGATATTCAATGCAGAAGCAATAGCAGTTTTCTATGATTAACATTCATTCTTAACTGGTTGCTTTTGGAAAATGCACAACTCTTTACAGGGTCAGAGCTTTCAAAGAACACTTTCATTTACTTTGCATGTGCAGTCACTGTTAATTATTACTGAAGAGGACACATTCAGGAAACCTAGATCTGTGCACTCGCTGTGCAGGCAAATGGACATCCTATCGGCAGGTAAATGTAAAATTGCCTCATCCATTTGCAGTAATTTTCTTTTGGGTTCCATATAACTAGATCCACATGTTTTTCTAACATTTGAGTCTAAAGCTGCACATGAAATTTTAAATATTTGCATATCCAATCCATTTTAATGATTTTAACGTCCTTAAAACACTGTGAAGTGAGACCATGGATAATTAACTCTTTGCCTTAGATGAGAGTCCAGAAGTTAAAGACACTCAACAGAATTCATTGTGGTTTTTTTTGGTACCCGGGATCATATTCAGAACCTTGTGCTTGTGAGGCGGGTGGCGCCACACCACTGAGCTAAATCCCTGGCCTAGAATTCCTTTTTTTTTTTTTTTTTGGTACCGGGGATTGAACTCGGGATCTTGAGCTTGCGAGGCAGGTGCTGAAAACACTGAGCTAAATCCCCGGCCCCGGCCTAGAATTCTTAACATGAGTCACACTACTCATTGGATTTCTTATAAAATTGGGTGTTGTTTAGTTTTTGTTTTAAAATTTGCTAGTTTTTTTAAGGGTAACAAAGCGAGAAATAGCAAGAGATAAGAACTGAATGAGATTGAAGGAAATACAAGAAATATTCTATATTTGTAAGAGAGGACAGTTTGTAGGTCTTTGGAAAAGAAAATTTTACCATACAGTGGGTTTTCTCCATGAAGAAATCTAGAGAAAGGAAGAAGGAAGGGATGAAATTGGAAAGAATTTAAGAAAAGGAAGGAAACAAAGCATTACAAATAATAAAACCATTTTTCATTTCTTCCAAACTTTACACTGAAAATGTTTGGAAATGAAACCATAATTAATGTGACTTTAAAAAATTCTTATCTGAGCTTTAATAATACTAAGCTTTAATAATATTGAATCGAATACTAAAAGCATATGGCCATACTAGAATATAAATACATATTGAGTAGAAATAAACTATATTTTCATTCGTTCTTTTAAATTGAGACTCTTAGAAGCTGAAAACAAACAGTAAATGGAACAAATATTAAGTCTTAGTATACAAGAACATGATGCAATGGAGTACAGTAATTTTAAAAAATTGACTATATTAATGAAATCCTTGCAATAACATGAAAAAGTAATACAGAATGCATTATAGAAAAGCTTGATTCTCTAGGAACCAATTTGTATCTGATTTTAAACAGGGTGATACTAAGTATTACCAATATAAATGTTCAATCAGGCTCTGAAGAGCACAGCTATTGCAGTTATTTTTCAGTCTTTTATTTTGGTCGGTTTTTATTCATATACCTTGCCGTGTCTATTCCAAGGGCTGTGTTAGTCCGGCGGCCACCTCTCTGGAATATTTTTTTTGCTGCAACAAGTACCTCTTCTGTAGATGAGTATTTATTAAGGTTGAACTCATGAGTTACATTTTCTCCATATTGTACAATTCCAACCTGAAATACCAACCCACTGGTAGTTAGAAACCTGGCAAAATTCTCATTCAGTTTTCTTGAGTTTAAATATATGGTAAGATGTAATACATTTTAGTCTTTCTGATGAGTTAAAAAAAATTGGCAATGCATAAATCCTTCTACTTCAGTACCAATAACCATGGCCATTCTGTGGATAACAATTAAAAGAGCAAAACTAAAGATTTCTCAAATGATTGGCTTGCCTATTCAACAATTTTTACTAAATGATTTTGATAGGCTTACATAAGAAAACTATGGGGTTTTTTTAAAGCTTTTTTGTTTTAGAGTAGGTGATACAAAACACAAATAAATAGATAATATTGTTTAAAAGAAATAGACTATATGAATTTTCCTTTCAAGTTGCTTAGTCCAATATAATACAAATAAGAAAGAACTAGAGAATATGTGTAAAGTTTAGATGAGGTATATAGTGTTAACTGAATGAATAGGTAATCTGCTCAATCTATGTGTAGTTTAGCCCTGTTCTTCTAAGAATACCTCTTCCGTGAAATATCCTTTGCCACTTGTCCCAAGATGATGAGTTATTATATTTGGAACAAATATGACCAGAAATCCCTTTGCAAACAAAGTAGGATACAACTAATTACAAAAAATAAAATAAAATAAAGGATGAAGAGACACTCACAACTCTAATTCAGGTTATTTGCTTGACATAATTAAGTGTGCTAGGCATTTTTAGTATCCTATGCATAGGTTTTAAATTCTTTTCTTCAATGATCTTACAACATTTGATTAATAATCCTAGAAAATATGAATAATAGGAATCCATATAGACTTTGTATTATTTATGTGTACATAAATGTTCGGTGTAAACAGAAATATAATGATTTTGTTACTTAGACAATCATTAAGCTTAATTCTAGGCATCAATGTCAATAAATACTGTTGTAGAAGTTAATTTCTTATCCATTCGGGACATCTTGGACAGTTTGTTTTATTTTTATTTCCCCGTGTTTTTATTTGATTAAGCAGGGAACTATAGAACTGAAAATTTTCACATCTACTCCTCTCATTATCCTGGGATATTTTATCATCTATAAGCTTATTCTTTTAAAAATTAAGATATAAGAGAACTTAAAAGTCTTACAACTGATGGTTCCCACATTTTTTCTGTACAGTATTTAACTTCTAATTACTCAACAAGATTCACTTTAGCAAACAGCCCTTGGGCTCCTAAACTGCTTTGCCCCAAAAGTTTAAAGAGCTGAAAATACAAGGAAATTTTCTCCCTCCTCACCCCTTACCCTGTCCAAAGGAAATGCAGGGAATTCAAGACCAGGCCCTTAACTCAAGTGGGAGCTTCCCTTTCAGATTAGGATGAGGCCTGGACTTCATCTGAAATTATACCCTTGTTTGTTGTCTCGTGTTTGTGCTCAGCTTTGATTCTCCAAATTCCTTCCTATTTTATTCAGAACAGAAAGTGCTTCTTGAATAAATCACTAGTACATGAATCTTTCTTTCAAGGTTTGCTTTTGGAGAACTAACTGGACCTGAGATAGGTCTAAGTCCTATCATCGATGTTCCTTCAATCCTGCTCAGGCCAGGCATAATAGCCTTCAACCTAGACCACAGCAATTACTGATCTCTCCATTTCTGATCTCTCTCCTTCCATTTCCACTCTACTAAAATTCATCTACATATTATTAGAATATTAACCACAAACTATTGCATTTATCATACAACTTCCCCATTCTAAAACATCCAGTGATCTCCATTGCCTACATCAGTGCCTTTGAAATATACTTTAAGATAGAATATTTTATTCTAATTTTAAAAAGAAAACAGATAAAAATTCAAGCAGCTCCTTGAAAAAAAATATTAGAATCCAGTTTTTCTCCCCTTGACTGTCAACAGTCTTACCGTCTCTATTTACCCTCATCTTCAGGGTTCTCTAGTATTAATTCTACCTCTACCAAATGCCCTTGTCTGTCCCTCCATCTAAACCAACTTCTACCCAACCTGTGAGGTTTAACTTCTACTTTCTTTGCAAAATTTTCTCTAGCTCATTGCCAACTGAGCCCATATTGACCTTTACTTTCTCAGAACACTGAAGCAAATGAGTCTGTGAGTGCTGCATTCTTCTCAACTGTTCTGGATGTGTGCTTTACCTCTCTAGCTGCATCACAAGTTCTAAGGGGTCAGGCAGGGGTAAAAAGCATGGACTGTATCATGGCTTATGGTTTTCTTTTATCCCTTACCACTGCTCTGCTTTGCTCATAGCTGACACTCATGCATCCCTAGTAGATGATTGCTTCACATAGCAAGTGGAAAGTTGAGATAGCAGGAAAATAATGATAAGCAGAAAAAGAGAGATACAAAGAAGTGTGGGAAATGTGCAGAGTGGGAGTAGAACTCATGTTGCAGGGAAATGACATCCGATGTAGGTTCCTGGATGATACAGTGGCTGCTTATTTCCTTATAAACTAGACAGAATAAGGCCTGGTGTGAGTCTTCCCCAAAAAGGGATACCATTTATTAATTTTTAGTACAGTAGGAGGGTCAGATTTCAAAGCTAACACACATAGTGCTGTGCTGAGTATTGGAGGAACCCTGTTCAATAAAAATAATTTCAGTCCTAGCTTAGCTTATCATTTAAAGCAAATAAAACAGATTCCTATAAGAATAAATGTGTATACAAGCAGTGGAATCAAATAAGTATGAGAATTAAAGATAAAAAGTAAGCGAAACCTTGAAAACACACTGAGGGGGAAGGGGAACAAGAATCAACAGCATATTCTCTCTTTCCCATTGAAAAATCTCATGGAGGAAGGAAAGACCAGCTTCCTGAATGAGACTGCCAGGAAAAGAAGAAGACAACACATCATAAAAACACTATGGGTGGAAACAAGTGGTCTTAAAAGCCTTAGATTTATGTCACAGATGACAATTAAAGAACTTTAAGTAATTTTAGAAAACGAGAGAAAGAAAAGCAAACAAAAATCTTCATATTTGACTTGATGACGTCAATTGTACTAGAACGGTATAAACACCAGCAGATAGAAGTTGAGTAGAGAGCTGGGGAACAGTAATGCACAGGAAAAGATTCTAGGCATTTTCTTGCTAGATAAAAAAAGTAAGTAACATTGACAGCTAAAAGAAGTAATTTGGTTAGATATAGACATTCTCAAAGGGGAAATGGCAAGAGAATAGCTATGGTATCAGCAAAAGAGTGGGTGAATAAAGGGGGATAAATAGTTACAAGTGGAAGGAAGAGTTCCATTTCAGAGGTAACTGGGACGTTATCTTCCTGCAAGGGTGTGTGGTTTGAACTTCTTGATTAAATAGGAGAAAAGACATGATAATCCAAGACCAAAGAGACCTAGGCAGTGATTCAGGCCATACCATGTATCAGGCACAGAATGGCTATCCATTATGTTTCATGAATATGAGATTTAAAACATTGATTCCATTTTTTTGCATGAATGTAATGTTAATAATCCTTTATTAGATAAATCCCTGAAATAATATCCCCTTACCTTTCCCCCAGGGAGTTCTAGATCCCTTGGTATAGTAATAGGCAAGATTTTAAAACATAATTTCATGGCCGAAAAATCTTGGAAAACAACGAGTTAAAAAAATTAAACAAACTTTTTAAAGACCTTTTCCATCATTTTATATTTCCTATCTATACAAAAATGTCAGATTTCCAATGGTGCAAAAGAGAAAGGCTTTCTCCTACTCCTGTCCCCAACTGCTCTCCTGTCGCAGAAGCAAACTCTTGAACATGTTCTCAGTGTTTTTAATATGAAAGCATGCACTGTGAATCACAACTGACAGAAAGACATGCTTATTTTATTGTTACTTGTGGGACTTTTTTGTGAGAATCATATTCAGCCTTTTATATAACATACTTTGGGAAATATTACAATAGTTTGAGTTACATGCTTTGTAATTGTTCTGCTTTATTCATCTTTTTTATATTTATGATATATCATTATGCTTTGTAGTTATTCTAATATATGATTTTATTTCATTTCTAAGTTCAAAATTTTTTACATCAAGAAAAAATTTTAATGACCTTCTTATTGACCAAGACACCTAGCATAATACTTAACCAATAAGGTACATCATAAATAGTATTTTGTGAATTAAAATAAACAAATTACTCAAATAGTTTCTTTCCTTTGGGCATATAGAAGAAAGAAGAAGAAAAGTAAATAAAAACATATTAAAAAAAGACACTGTTAGAAATCAGAGAAGAGGGCCTTTCTGATTATTATGTCATGAAACAAAGCCACATTTAAGTTTTTAATGAATGTCTTAAATGACAAGAAAGTTTAGGAAAGAGAACCATAGCCATTAAGTATACTGAGTCAAAAAAGCTATAAAGGAATGGACTTGTTAATTCATTTAGAATTATATTATCAGGATAAATCAGAGTTACAATACCAATGTCAAAATTTTTATGCTTCTCATGAGTTGTTTCTGGGCTTTCATTCAACAATTCACATTATCAAATCAATGACGTTTTTAGGGAAATAAAGACTTAGTAAAACAATGAGGTTTCCCATGTTGGTGTAAGATGTACAACTGCTTAATATGACAAGAACTCAGGCTCTGTGTCTGGATAATGTACAGTTCTTTTTATCAAGCTATGCTATAAAAGGTCTGCCATGCTTCTCATGTGAATGAGTCACGGTATGAACATGGTGATAAGACAGGCTACAATCCCACTTAACTGTTAGCACCTTCTGGAACTGTGTTAGCTGAAACCAGCAGCTTAACCTTTTGTCACTATGGAAAGGGACATAAACAGGACTGACTCAAAGATAGATGATCATTTCCTAAGTAAATGAGCCCTCAGAAACATAAATAATGTTAATAGATAATAGCCAAAGAGCCTAGGAAAAGTGTCTTGGCTGGCTTTTTCCTTGATGGAAGATGCTGCAATAAAAGTGACCCAGGCACAGAAATGAAAGGATAGGAGAAAGCAGAGCAAAACTTAAGCCACTGTATTCATG